TGTTAGAGACACAGGTAGGTAACCCTAGTAGGGAACGATAAAATTTAGTTTGTACAGATTCCAGGGACTTGAGTTTTTGACAATTAAATATCTGGGTGCCATACATCAATTGTGGAAGTATTTTTGCAACAAAGACCTGGGAGGCAGCAGGAACATATTGACCTCCTTTTCTGTAAAAGAATCTTATGATAGCTCTGGAAGATCTTTGCGCATTTACAATGGAATTCTTTATCTGATGGCACCAAGATCCCTTCTCATCAAAAATTATTCCAAGATATCTAAAAGATGTTACTTGCTCAATAGGTTGGTTATTAATTTTCCATTTATGTCGGAGTTTTCTCTTGGAGAACACCATAATTTTTGATTTAGTGTAATTTATTATTAGGTGTTCAGCTTCGCAATACTCTGTAAGAGCTCGTAAAAGTTTTCTTAGACCCACACAAGAGAAGGAAATAAGTGCCGCATCATCTGCGTACAAAAGGACCGGGATTGGTGTATTATTTAGATTTGGGGAATGAGTACTTGCTTCCTCCATCTTTCCGACTAAGGAGTTTATATAGAAGTTAAAAAGAATAGGGGCAAGAACACAGCCTTGCTTGACACCATGGGAACTTTGGATTTCCTTTGATAGGTTCCCATAACGGTCGCATCTAACACGGATCCGAGTATTTTCATGTAGTCTACGGATAAGAAGCAAAAGACGTCTATCGATGTTTGTGACATTTAGTTTTTCCCAAAGTCTGTGCCGGGGTATCGAGTCGAAGGCTGATTTGAAATCTATAAAGGCTACATAGAGAGAGCCTCCTTTCTTTGAGGTGTATTTCTCCACTAGATGTTGCAATACCAATCCTTGGTCTAGAGTTGATCTATGTGCCCTGAAACCAGCCTGGGCTTCCTTTAGGATGTGCTCCTGTTCCAGCCAGTCCGCAAACTTTTCACGTAAGTGAGTTGCATAAAGTTTGCTGATGATGCTTAAAAGACTGATTGGTCTGTAATTGGCTGGATCAAGTTTACAGCCTTTCTTGAATATGGGAACGATGATTGCCAATCCCCAGTCCTCTGGTATTATTGCTGTTTGATCTATGCTGGTGAAAAGGGTGGCAAGGACTGGGGCCCACCAGTCAATATTGGCTTTGAGAAGTTCAGGAGAGATGTTATCTGCTCCCGGGGCTTTTCTGTGTTTGAGTGCCTGAATAAGCCTCCTAATCTCCGCGACCGACACCGGAGGCCACTCATCACCTGCCGCACACTGTATTAGTGGCTGTGTCAAAGGCAGAGCTGAATATGAAGATTGGAAAAATGCCTCCCAAGTCCCTGCAGGTATAGTATACTCCACTTCTGAGGAAGTAGATCGCACTCCATTTGCTACCAGTCTCCAGAAGGTGGCCGAATCTCTCTCTCTGGATGCATCTATTAGGCATTTCCATTCTCTTTTCTGTGCCAGGAGTTTTTTGTTTTTGATCAAAATTTTATAATTTCGTTTATCTTCAAACCAGCCCGGGGGGAGTTGGGGTAGTTTGGCAGATCTATAATTCTTGTATTTTTTCAGTAAATTTAGCTTCATATCCTGACATTCTTGATCAAACCAGGGTTTGGAGTTTTTATATGCTGAGGGTTGCCTACTTGGCCTGTTCCTTTTTTCCTTCAGGGAATCTTGAAGGAGTAAAATTAACTCCTGAAATAAATTTATCTTTAATTCATGGCTTGAGGAAGTTATAAGGTTTTCTCTCTTAGTGAGGAATTCCTTTGAGCATAGCCTACTTGAAATTTCCTTATGCAGTTCATCTGTCCATCTAATGCGCGAATATCTGAGCTCCAAGGCTGTAGGGCTCGAATGCTCGATTTTTTCAGCGCAGGATAAATCCTTTCCCGCAGCTACGAGTGCACTTAATGGCAGATGGTCACTGTCTAAACGCTCCTCCACTTTGCATTCCAGAACTTTGTTTTGAAGATCATACGACACGATTATATAATCAATTGTGGAGGCGCCATTGTTAGATATAAATGTGAATTCTCCGACCTTCTCCCCCTCTGTACGGCCATTTAGTATAACCAAGTCCAACTTATTGACCAAGTGTAGTAAGCATAAGCCGGCATAATTGCAGCCTTTATCCTTTGAGATTCTAGCTGGTATTGGGTGGGTTTCCTCTATAATGGGGACTGTTTCGTGGAAATGGGCACACAAAGCCTCATCAGATTGTCCAGTTCTGGCATTTAGGTCGCCTGCCACCACTACAGAGGCATCAGGAAATTGATTTAGTAGTTTGTCAAGATACTGTTCTAACTGAGCCCAAGTATTTCTTATCAATCTTTTCTCTCTTTGTGGGGGTAGGTATACATTAATCAGCAGCCAGCTGTGGGTTCTCCACTGTACTTGCACAGCTGTGGCCAGATGGTCTAGTGGGTCTAGTTTTTTAAATGTGGCCCTTAGCCTTGTTGAGATTAAAGTAACTAGCCCACCTTTAACTCGCCCCCCTCTAGTACTTAAAAGACCTGGGAGGGAGAACGCAGAAAAACCATTTAACTCCACTTCACTTGTGCTCCAGGTCTCCTGGAGAAACGCAATGTCATGTCTCTGGATATATTTAGCAAAGGATTGGTCAGAAACCCTCTTTTGCCAACCTGCAATATTCCAAGTTAGCAAGGCAAGGTTGCACGTTGTCTTGCCAAAAATTGATCTTCACAAGTGAGGATATTTTATGTGGGCGAGTATTTCAGCAGCAGACTCTGTGACCTGGAATCTGAACAATCACTCTACTATGTGATTTTCTGGCCCCTGTAAGAGTCATACATGTTTCTGTCCTTCATGTACACTGGCTCAGCCCCATCACCAAATCTAACTGCATTCACAATGGCATGCACATTTTTGTTTTGTTTTAAATTTGATGGTTTGTACAAATCACCCATTTAATGGTTTGTATATTGCTTAGAGCAATTATTTTATGAGGCAACTAATAAATATACATTTAAAAGCATGCAATTCATCTAGCATTTTTGTGGTTTTCTTCCCTGATTTCCGAAACATACATTATGGTCATTTTACAGTATCCTCTTTCATTACACACCTCCAGGGGACAGAATGCTAACCATTTTCTCATCTTCCCTAGGAGCAGTCAGTTGCTTTGTATTCAACTTTTTCTATCCAGTCTTAGTTCATATCAGTAGATTCCTTTACAGAGTGTTCTCTTAGCTTTTAATTTCAAGATCACCATTTGATTTCAAAATGTTCCTAGCACATGGAGTCTAATTTAGTGTTTGCTCTGTAAGTGAAACTGAATATCTTTCTGCCTATTCCTAACAATCCCTGTGCAGGATTACTGAATGTTAGGTGACCTTTTCTACCTGTAAGTCTTGCTTGCTTCAAGATTCCTCTGAAGGAAAATGTAAAAGAGACTGGATTTCTGGTGGCATTATATCAGGAGAAAGTATGACTAAAAGTCTGCCCTTGGCTCTGTGGGATCAGTTCCCATTGATGTCAAGTTACATATACTTCCTCCACAAAAGACTACAATTTGGCCTTTCTTTTTAACACCTGCAGATTTTCTGGGCTTCTCAGGAGCCCATGGCAATACACTTCAGTTTTATTTTATCATTTCTCATAACTAGAAACCATTGTTTCGTTGTTTCTCATAGCTAGAAACCATTGTTTGATTATCAGGCACCAATATGTCTTCAGGTGCTCACCTAGACCATGGGTAGGCAAACTAAGGTCTGGGGGCCGGATCCGTCCCAATCACCTTCTAAATCTGGCCCGCGGACAGTCCGGGAATCAGCGTGTTTTTACATGAGTGGAATGTGTGCGTTAATTTAAAATGCATCTCTGGGTTATTTGTGGGGCGTAGGAATTCGTTCTTTTTTCCTCTTCAAAATATAGTCCAGCCCCCCACAAGGTCTGAGGAACAGTGGACCAGCCCCCTGCTGAAAAAGTTTGCTGACCACTGCCCTATGCCACTGCAGTAGCACATTTAGAAAACATGGTCATATGCTTTTCTGGACAGGTTGGGTTTCTCTTCCCAGAGCAGTGGCATGTCCTTTTTGGCTTATGAACATAGGAAGCTATTTATTTGTCCCAGAATTGCCTATATCAGTGACTCCCCACCTGTGAGTCATGACTTGCAAGTAGGCCGTGTAGCCTGTGCAGATGGGTTGCAAGCTTTATAAGTAAATCCAATATAATTATAGCTTGTAATCCCTAATTGGTATGATAAATACCTCTTAACAGCTTTTTGTTTTGTTGACATATTATAATGTTGTGTTGACACCTATAACCAAACTTCGGAAATGCTTGAGTCTTACATTTTAATGCTTGGGGACTGCTCTTTGGTGGCAGAAAAGTCCAAAATTCATGTGACAGTAAATTGATGGGTGACCATACCAAGTAAATTTGGACTTGTGGGTTGCCCTACCAAAAAAGTTGGAAGCCTTTGGTCTACACTGACTGGCAATGGCTGCCTAGGGCCTTAGATTCAGACAAAGGTCTTTCACATCACCCTTGAATGGAGACATCTGGAATTAAAGCATAAACCATACCATTAACTTATGATCCTGTCCAGGTAGGTTTTCTCAGTTAATGCCTTCAGGGATGTAGCCTTGAATACTTAGGTTTCACATGCTGCAGTTTCAGTAACATTTATCTGAGAGTACACAGACCTTTACAGCCTCTGCAGGAAATGTAGGATAATTCAGAAATCCTGCAATTCTCTGCAGCCTTGTCATGTTTTAACTGAGTGCCACTCTAGATATTCTAGATTCTAGATATAACCACTGTTATATGGATTAGTTGATTTTAGGAGCAGCGGGGGAACCTAATAATGTCCCGGAGCAGTTGTTTGAGATGATGCCAGAGAAAGTTAGAATATCAGCAAAGGTTTGCATGTTCACATTTTCTGGAATCCATGAGCATATGCTAGTCATTCAGCTAACTCCCCAAAGTGACTCTTCTAATCTTCAAGTTATATTTGCATTTAGTGTTTATTTTGTTGTATTGTTGTTTGTTTTAGAATGAAGTGATTAGTCAACAACTGGCTGTCATATTCACTCATTGCTATGGACCCTATCCTATTCCTAAGCTTGTTGAAATCAAACGCAAGCAGACATCTCGTTTAGGTAAGTGTGCTGTGAGTTGTAGAACATGTGTGGCACGGTCTGTTGATCCGCACTGTTGTGCAACACACATTTGGTTCATTGAGGTTTGGTCACTCGGGGAAACCAAGATAAATAACAGAAGTATAGGATAACATAGACAAGCTTAATCATGATGGGCATCGCATACAGTTAGAAATTAGAAGGGACCATTAAATCAGAAGGGCCATCTGCACTCAGCCACATGCATACATAAGGGACTGCATCCATTCATGATCATGCCTTTATACATGAAATTTTGTCATCTAGACATTGCCACCCAAAATTTAGAATTTCACACCAAAATCCAAGTTTTGAAATGTGCAATATTTGGAATGCAGATAGCTAGGTTTTTTTCATTGTTATGAATGGTGGAGGTGGTAGAGAGAAAGAAAATGTCCTTGTGGTTCGAGGACCCGACCCCCGCAATGTGGAATGAATACGCAAGGACACGAGATATAAGGTTAATGGGCAAGAAAAGGCCACAACTTTATTGATTACAGCAGTGAAAAGGTATTGGCTTAGGCATTGGATGTCTAAAACAAGGGGGTTTATTCACCAGTAGGTGGAGCCTGTTGATGCTAATCCAACTATAGGCTAGATACCCTAGAACCTGGTGTCCTCTGATACAATTGTTAGGCAGTAAGTTCAGAACTGACAACACGTAACTTGTGGAATTCACTGACACATGCTGTGGTCGTAGCTACTAGCTTAAACTGATTTTTAACAGAGTAATCCTGTACTCACAACATGCTGGTATCAGAGCAATGCTACCACTACACTGGAATTCATATTGTAAGAGCATTGTGCTTTTTGTTGTCACCTTGTTGTGGATCTGAGGGCTTGCCCACACTTCCGCTTGTCCCATGCCTAGAAAACACAGTTTTCCACTTGACCCACACTTTCTAGGCATGGGTCTGAGCTGTTTTCCCCTTTCCCTACTCCTTTCCCAAGGAAAACTCACTCTTTAGTGCTAAATTGGAGCAAATGTCAATCTGGAGAAAACCCGAATTGCTGTTTGCTCCAATTGCACACTAAAGAACAATTTTCCCCAGGGGAAAGCAGTGGGGAAGAGGAAGTATGGATAAGCCCTGAGACAGAGCATGGGATATACAGTGGTGCCTCGGGTTACAGATGCTTTGGGTTACAGACACTTCAGGTTACAGACTCCGCTAACCCAGAAATAGTACCTCGGGTTAAGAACTTCGCTTCAGGATGAGAACAGAAATCATGTGGAGGCAACAGGAGGCCCTATTAACTAAAGTGGTACCTTAGGTTAAGAACAGTTTCAGGTTATGAATGGACCTCTAGAATGAATTAAGTTCTTAACCCGAGGTACCACTGTATAAGGAAGAAAATCTTTAACTAGCAAGCCTAATACTTTTCATTCAGCACTCTCATTACAATCAGTGAAGGTGATGGTTATGACTGAGGTCCTATTTTGTGTCTTTGTCAATTATGGCACCACTGTGTTGTCAAACACAACAAATTAAAGCAATTGTCCATGCTAATGTGGGCACAAGTGGGCACAGTCTTGTTAATGATGGAAAGGTGCACCAGATTTAAAGATCTGTTTACATAGCTATGGATGTTTAAAGAGAATGGTCTAAAAAGGAACCTGAATCTTCCCTAGATTGTCACTATTTTGCCTGAGGGATTCAGTTGCATACCAGCAAATTTAGGTTTGTACAATTACAGGGGATTAAAGTACTCTGATACAAACCCACTTGTAAATATATATATATATATTAAAATTGAATTTTTTTTTATTAAAAAGTGACAAGAAAATGGATGAGAAAGTGTGGGATAACAATTGATAGAAAGTTGTCCAAACTTCACACAGACAAATCAGAATGAATCTCAATAAAGGCACATGCCTCTCTCAGGCAGCTATCAGGATCAAGCACACCTGTGTTTTACCTTACTCCCAACTAAAATGTCTTCCCACTCATTTTTGTTTTGTGATTCCAGATCCTCATTTTCTTAACAATAAGGAAATGTCAGATGTTACGTTCCTTGTAGAAGGAAGACCCTTTTATGCGCACAGAGTATTATTATTTACTGCATCCCCAAGGTAAATATATGTATTTGTAAATAAACCTGATGAAACCTAATTTGAGTATCAGGGAGAATACAAAGCAGGAAGCATTTATAGGTTATACAACAGGAGCTTGCAGTGAAAGTTGTATTTTAGCAAGAGAGAACGCATCATAAGCTGCAGAAGTTACCTGTGGATGGTTCCTTGGAAGAACAGACAGAGACAAGCTTTGGGGCTGTAAATGTATAGGCTAGTAGAAAGATCCGTTGGGAGCAAGAATTGGACTTCAAAGTAGGGGAGGAAAGTTTGCATAGAGGAGAGGTGGGTTATACTGTATATGTTATTCAGAGCTGCCACACTGTTTTCCTGCAGCAGAAAGTACATCTGCTGAAATCCCCTCATTTACACAACTGTTTAAGGTGCAGAGGACCTGTCTTCTATTGTATCTGATCAACAGTGCAGGAGCCTAGCTTCCTGTGGCTTGTCAAAATAAAAGGGTGCTGGCTGGTCTTTAAAAGGAGATGTAAGCTTGAGCAGAAAGCCTCCAGGGCCATCCCAGAGGAAGCCCTGCTCCTAGGGGATAGCAATCAACCATCCAAGAGAGGTCTTTGGCGGCTGACCTTACATTGTGTAGAGGGAAACGTAAGGGACTCAGAGCATAAATATGTAAAATGTCATATTTCCCAGGCTGCCCTTTTGTTCCCCCTGTATAATCTCCCCCCCCCCAAAAAAAAGAAATTGGACAGCTTCAGTAAAACATATTAGACCTAGAATGCAAATACTTTTCTTGCTGGATTTGCCAAATCTCTTGTTTCTGACAGCCTTGCATTTTAATCATGCAGCTGGCAACTTAGGCAGGAAGGAACTGCATGCAAGGGAGTGCGTGGAATGTAAGTGCATCAGCAGGCTGGTGGGGTAGGACAGAGTGTTCCACCCCTTCTCTGTGCCCAGCCTAGAAACCAACAGGACTCCCAGAGAAGGGAAGCCCCCTCTGCCTTGCCCAGACTGGAAATGCAGCAGAGCCCTGCTGGAGAGGCTGAGCTCTCTTTTTCTCCTTTGCAAACCTACAGCAAGCCAGTATTTGTTGGCAGGCCAGTAACTTTTATAGGCAATTTTACAAGGCTGTTTTAAAGCTTTCTGCCTGCCAATAAGTTTCATATGGGCAGAGCTCAAAAACATTAACAGTTTGTAGGCAATATAAACAAGTCTAAGCTACTGGGGTTTTTCTAGCCTTGCATATCAGCCTCTTCTGACGTTGCTGCTTTGCTACCGCTGCCAGGTGGCTGTTCCTGTTCCTTTAAGAGACGCTTGATAAAGATATGCAGAAATCAGCAGATGAGACTTTTCATGATTCTTCAATAAACATAACCACTTGCTGGTTGCTATGGATCACACTCTTACTAAAAGGGCAGCTGCAGGATACCTCAGGGACCACCTTACCCCTTAACGTTCCTGTCCCGTTGCTGCAATTTTTAGGAGGGACACTATTTCTGGTTCCCCACATGCCTGAGGGCTGCTTCACTTCCACTAGGAAATAAGGGTTTAAGTCCAGTAGCACCTACCCTCTGGAAGTGCCTTCCTATGGTAAGCAGCAGCAACCATGTGCTTTTGACAATTAATTAAAAACCTTTCCATTTAAGCAGGCTTCCCTTCATATGTGAACCTGACATTTATAACTCACTTTGGAATTTTATTTTGAATGTTACATTTTATGTATTTTTTTTATTTCTTGTATTATATACTATTTGATGTGTGCCTCTCTGGTGTTCTTTCGAAGTTTGTCCATATAAATAAATGCAGGGAGAAGCTCAGGAACTGGCAACCAACAGCTTGGAACAATTTTTTTGAATTGCGTTTAGTACCCCAATCCTAGAATGCTGTCACTGTGTAGTTGAGTGACATCTTTGTTATGCTGACATGATATTGTGCTGGTGTGTAAGCTGGTAGCCGCCAGCCCATGAATTTTTTCGATGGCACATTATTCTCACAATCTGTCCTGAAAAATAACAAAAATCAGTGTGTTTGAATGTTTTTGCGTAGGTTTAAAGCCCTCTTGTCCAGCAAACCTGCATCTGACAGCACTTGCATTGAAATCAGTTATGTGAAGTATCCCATTTTCCAGGTAAAGTTCAATACACTGCGGTGTCTTTGTATAATAAGCCAATGGTAATTTGTGGGAGAGAGAAAACATAACCAGTTGGAAGCCAGATCACAAGTGAATGGTGATTAACTATTTTATGGCCTATGTATGTACCGTATTTTTCGCTCTATAAGACGCACCAGACCACAAGACACACTTAGTTTTTAGAGGAGGAAAACAAGAAAAAAAATATTCTGAATCTCAGAAGCCAGAACAGCAAGAGGGATCGCTGCGCAGTGAAAACAGCAATCCCTCTTGCTGTTCTGGCTTCTGGGATAGCTGCGCAGCCTGCATTCACTCCATAAGACGCACACACATTCCCCCTTACTTTTTAGGAGGGAAAAAGTGAGTCTTATAGAGCAAAAAATAGGGTAATCTGTGTTGCAGTGTGATACTGTGAAGAGACAAATAAATATGAATTTTATACCAGTGTAACCCAGAGCTAAGGAAATTCTCAAACCTGAAATGATGACGATCAAGCAAACTAGAAGGGCTAGTTGCACAGGACCCTGGAGTACCCCTCCCCTGACCAGTAGACCTCCTTCTCAGAGATCTGTGTAGTTCCAGAAATTTCACTAAGTAGGGGATGATTCACACAGATTCAGGCTTATCTTTACAGCTTTCATTATAGTGGTTTCCACCCCCCTTTTCTGATATTCTAGTTCCATTGCGCTTGTTGTCTCATGGCAGGAGAAATCTGCATCTGAGTTTGACATTCCTTTTATCCTTTGCTTGTGCCTGCTCTACATTCACCAGCTTGCTAGATGTTAAGGATGCATCTAGTTCTTTTCTGTATGGAATAGACAAAGGGTGCTTTTCAGACAGGGGCTTAATTTGCAAATAGGTCATTGGTAAAAGTCTGTATTTTTTACGTACCACAAAGGGTAACTCTGGATTAAGGAAAGGCAATATGGGGTGACATTTTGATGCCAGTGATATCATGTGGACAACAAACATCTGTCTTAGAAGCACCCTTGGTCCTCACTAAGCTACACAATCTCCAGTCTGAGCTTGTCTTAATACCCTGCTTGTATGCAAGGCAGAAGTGGGTCACAAAGATTTCCATTCAGAGACAAAAGCCCTCAGGAGCCAAAGTCTGATGTCAATAAAGGACTCCCATGTGATCCATTGCTGGCTGAGATGCTACCTTCCTGGCCATTGTCTTGCCAAAGTAGTACATGCTCTGGTTATCTTCCACCTAGACTACTGCAATGGGATCTTTGAAGGTGACTCGGAAACTACAATTAATCCAGAATGCGGCAGCTAGACTAGTTACTAGGAGTGGCTGCCGGGACCACATAACACTGGTCCTAAAGACCTTACCACTTATTTTATCTTGTGCGCAGTAGCCCATAAATGGGGTGGGAAGAAGAAATACAGAAACTACGCTTGCATTTTTTGTGATCTATCAATCTCTTTGTTATTTCAGCTCATAATGCAGTATCTGTACTATGGAGGTGCAGAGTCACTTCTCATTAAAAACAATGAAATAATGGAGGTAAGAGGCAGCTTGCTCTACTGGTTCATTATAAATATGCAAAGAAATAGTAAAATAAAAAAGTAGACTTCGCCAATTGTGAAAGGGCTGTGATTCCACATGAAATAAATTAATGAATCAATCAATCAATCAATCAATCAATCAATTGTCGGAAATATGAAACTGGGAGGGAATAGAAAAAGGAGAAGTTCATTCACCAGATCAAAGTTCAAAGTGTAGTTCAAAGCAGGCACAAAGCCCAGTTAGTCCTCCTGTTACGTTGCCTGAGTATATAGCCAGCATAAGAACAATAGTTTTCAAAGACTTGAAAACAGTAAGATAACATAGAAAACTGCCTTATACAAATCAGGCCAATAGTTCACATAGCCTAGTAGTTTCCCCTCTGCAGTGGTCGTGGTTTCATTACAGGGTTTTAGTTTCCAACCCTTTCTGAAGATTCCTGAAATATGAACCCGGGGCCTTGCGGCCCTTCCCTTCTGGCTCTCATTCTGTCATTGCACACATATGCAGCCATATATTTTTGACCCACGGTGATCAAACAGGTTTTTCAAGCACTATAAAAATCCATGCACTATTTTTAGTAGTGACCACATTTTCATAGGGGGCAGGGGATAAACATGAGATTGCAAAAAGGCAGTAGACGCTGTAATTTTTGGGGTCATCTTATTTTATGCACTTTAGATGCATTTTGAAACCTCCACATTTTCCTCAGTGAAGTCTGACATTTGATCTGACTGGTTTTGTAGCTTGCCATTCACCAGCAATGAGTCCTCTAGGTTTGGTCTCATCACTCTCCTTTCCGCTTTGTGGTGGTCAGAGGTAACATAGCAAGAAGAATTATCTGAATAATATGGTGCAAAGATTTGCCTTAATTCAGCTGAGCATCTGTTTGGGCAGCATAAAACATTTGAAAGAAAAAGAACAGGAAATGAGGTGGGGGATGAAAAAACTTTACTGCTAATGCACTCCCCTCTTGTTCCCCTCCCTGGACTCTGGTATATATTGTCAAATGGCACCCATATCTCCCCAGCAGTGTGAGATTTCAGGGGTTCCAGGCACTTACCCAGGGTCTGTGTTTCCTTTGGAAATGAGGCACAGCAGAGACTGTGGTGTCTTTATGATATATGGTTTTATTTACCCACATATACAACCTTAGTCTATATGGAGGGAGTGCAGAGCCTTCACATCCTAAGAGGGTCTTGTCTTCTCCATAAGTACAGCACTAGATTCAAAGAACAGAAAAAAGCCATCCTCTGTGTCTCTTTGTTCCAGTCTGTCATCTCCAGCTCACATGGTGTTCCGCCCCTCCTTCTTCCTCTCACTGCTAACCCAGTGAAACTGTTTCCTCCTACATATGTTATCCAGACTTGAAATCCAAACCCTTCTTGTCCACCAACACATAGCTGGAGCAGGCACCCCATCCCTCCTTTGCCTGGCAGTCTTCACCTTCTGCTGGTTTCCTTGATGGGCCATCACTGGCCTTTGTCCCCTGCTAATGGTCCATTTTTAGTGGCTATGCCAAGCTGTCCTGGTTTGTTAGCATAAATTAAATCCAGGGGGTTTCAGCATTTGGCACAGTTTAATCAAATATTGTTTAGTTCTAACTTTTACTAAATTCAAGAATTATGGGTGCCCTTGCACCCACAAACTCTGGAACCAAAGCACATAACAATATTTTCTTTTCTCCTGTTTTTCAGCTTCTGTCTGCTGCTAAATTTTTCCAGCTTGAAGCATTGCAACGACACTGTGAGATCATCTGTGCAAAAAGTATCAACACAGAAAACTGTGTGGATATTTATAATCACGCCAAGGTAAAACTGCATTACTCATTTTTTTAAAGCGTTTTTATACCACCATTCATATGGTATCACAGTGTGGTGTACAATCAAATGTGATGCACATTTTGTTTTTGTTTTTTAAAAAAGCATGCCCAACCGACAACTGAGCAGAGGATTTCTACCTCAATGTAAATAGTGACTTTGTAGCCTAGCCAGGGGGGGACGCGGGTGGCGCTGTGGGTAAAACCTCAGAGCCTAGGACTTGCCGATCGCATGGTCGGCGGTTCGAATCCCCGCAGCGGGGTGCGCTCCCGTCGCTCGGTCCCAGCGCCTGCCAACCTAGCAGTTCGAAAGCACCCCCGGGTGCAAGTAGATAAATAGGGACCGCTAACCAGCGGGAAGGTAAACGGCGTTCCGTGTGCTGCGCTGGCTCGCCAGATGCAGCTTGTCACGCTGGCCACGTGACCCGGAAGTGTCTGCGGACAGTGCTGGCTCCCGGCCTCTAGAGTGAGATGAGCGCACAACCCTAGAGTCTGTCAAGACTGGCCCATATGGGCAGGGGTACCTTTACCTTTAGCCTAGCCAGGAACATGCTCACAAGACTCCAATGGCACGTTCCCTCCTGGCATTCACTAGGAGTGGTATTCTAGGCAGATATACTCAAGAGTCTCTCCAGGTGTCATTGAAGAACAACATGGGCTTCTTGTATGTGATATTTTAATGTGTTGCTCTTCGATTGCAGCTCCCACAACTCCTTAAGAGTCTTCACACGACTGCCTAATTTGTCCATGCACGTCCCTTCTTGATTTATCTAGACAGCCATCTTTCAAATTCCTTACTGTGTGTGAGCCTTGAGTGGGAAATCACAGCCATCGCTTTCATCATTCACGGCTTGGAGCAACAGAGCAACTGAACTTAGGCAGACCCAGTAGAAGTTCTGATGTTTTTGTCATTGAAGGGCAAACCTCCATGCTAAACTGCAGGCTTACATCCAAAGGTCCCTTCCATTTCAGCAGCAGAGTGCCATCTTGCAGTGGAGGTTACTGTTGAAGAAAAACAAGTCCAAATCTCTTGTCTTGTCTGCAGAACTACTTTCATGGAGGGCGGACAAACAGAAGTACACACACACACACACACACACACACACACACACCACATTGCTAGGCTATGGAACTTGGGACCACACCATATAGTAATGGCCACCAGCTTGAATGGCTTTGAAAGGGAAACAGGCAAACTCATGGCGGAAAAAACTATCAATGGCTGCCTGTCAAGGTGGCTGTGTTACTTCCAGTATCTGGGGCAGCATGTCTCTGAATATCAGTCCTGAGTGGGAAGAGTACTGAGTGGGAAGAATACTGTTGCACCCATATTCTACTTGTGGGTTTCTCATGTGCTTCTGGTTGGCCACTCTAAGAACAGAAGAATTGTTTGGTTTTCTTGGTCTGAACCAACAGGGCTCTTCTTAAGTTCTTATGGATTCTGGCCTATATCTGTGTATAAACTTGACTAAATTTTTTTCCCCTTTTCCTTTTCTTTTCTTTCCCCCCGCTCTGGTCCTCATTTCCTCTGTCTTCAGTTTCTTGGAGTAACAGAACTAGCTTCCTATTGTGAGGGTTACTTTCTAAAAAACATGATGGTCCTCATAGAAAACGAAGCTTTCAAACAGCTGCTGTACGACAAGAATGGAGACTCGTCTGGCCAAAACGTACTACAAGATTTACAGAGGACGTTGGCATCACGGATCCAGTCGATTCATTTGTCGTCTTCAAAAGGCTCCATTGTATAAAGTTCAGGAAGAGCCTGATGTTTCTGATGGGGGGGAGGGGAAGCACCACAAATGAAAATGTTGCCGGTGCAGTTTCTTAAGAGAATATACAACGCTATTTTTTCCTATGGGAGTATTACATTGCGGATGTGGGCCAAAGGTGCTGTCACTTGCTTGAAACTTCCTTTGGGCAAAAGGTTATGGTACATGTGACTCCTATGCATTTTTGGAACTACAAGGATGTATTGCTGTTCTGTGAATTGCTGTTCAGATTCTGAACGCGGAAGTGCTGTCGTGCAGCTAATGCCAACTGAAGCTGGGCCATGCACCCGTACGTAGCAGAAGCCCGTCCTAGACCAAGAATGCCACGAAACAATTATTTGACAAAACCAACACATCAGGTTGTTTTTGTAACACAGTGTCATACTTCTTCTTCTTTTTGAGACCTGCACTCTCCCTGCCCCATAGTCCATTGTATTGTGCATTTGAGAAACATAAGCTCTGGTAGTATGGCGAATTTTTAGTGGTGGGAACTTTTTAAAATTGTTCATTAAAAAAATGGGGTGGCCTCTTAGGGTTCCCTCCCACTTTATTTTCTGAAGCTCCAAATTTTGTTTTCAACATATTTGAGAATGTATGTTACATGTTAAGTTTGGGGTTCATTTTTTTTCTAATTTTTGGTTTTTTTTTATGGTAAGATGTACACTGTGTGAACATACATCTGAAAAGGTTCTGCTCATACACTTTTCTTTAAAAAGTGGTATAATCTTGCCCCAATGGCTCACGGTTACACCAAAGAGGTGCATTACCAAGGACTCAGTAGTTGGGGTGGGGAAAATTGCATGCTAACTGTGGTTTGGGGTTTAAAACAGCAATGAAATTTTAACATGCATTTGCATGGTAACGGTACCTGTGAAATGTTATGTTTGTGCTTAATTTTGCCAAGAAAAAGAAAACAATGCAATGTTAGTTCTTTGTCAAACTCCATTTGTGAAATATATTTCAGAGTTTCATTTTCTGGGGGTTCACAATTCCCATGGAGAATAATTTTAGAGAAGATGATTTGTAGTTATTATATGAGAGAGGTCAATACTGGGTCAACAATTCATGGGAAATGTTGGTATTTTGCTACTGGGAAGAGGTTATGAAGAAGATGATTTATTTTAATTATATATTAAATATGTACTATAGACTGATTTCTTGCCGTATAATGAGAATGTGTAGGTTATGTGCTCATGGAAGCCTGTAGCAGGCCTCAAGTTGTTTAGCAGCATATTTTTAGCAAGATGAACCTATTAAGTGCCACACAGATTCCTGACCATTTAAGTTTTGCAGGGACCACAGTAAAAGATCATTTCCATCAGAATGTTTATCAAGCTACCTTTTCCTTGATGAAGTTGTGTCAATTTGCTTGCCCTGCCTCGCCCCACCCTGTTGTGCCCCTGGGAAAATTATGTCTGGTTCATAAACTTCGGAAATTTTCATAATGCCAGTTCTAAGTAAATCCTAGGTCTTTTCTATAAGGTGCTAATTCACTTTGACAGATTTTTTTAAATGTTCAGGAATCCAGTTTTTTTTTATATTGGACAACAAGAAAACAAGGGGCTGATCTGTGGCTCTAAATGTCAAATCCTCCTTTTTTGTTTTATACCATTCCTGCAGCAACACTGCAAAATTGCCTAAACTACTGGTAATGTTACAGAGGCACAGCATGGCAATTGAATAATGGAGTAATGCTCACCCCGAACCCATTGTCTGTAATGGGCAACTTGGCTTACTGTGAATTTTGCACTGCAGTGCTGACAGGGACAATAACCTGACCAGTGTGATTACTGTTCCCTTGGGTGCTTCCTTGCCGTGCTTCCTTGGTCACCGCAAACAGCCGTACACAAGGGATGGGTTGCTGTAACCTTTCTATGACATTTGAAGGGCCTCCTGGGTGTTAACTGCTGAGCTGCCAAAGAGTGAGTGTTGGGGATCAATGCAGCAGGGAAAAGACTCTTGAAGGATGTTTTTCACAAGCAATACCAAGAGTCATCATTTGTGAATGTTGTTAATATGGGGATAGTAAGCAGGGGTTGTTGGTTGTTTTGTTTTTTTAATTGAATGCATGTTCTATTCAATGCAACTGGTTGTGCAATTTTCAAATGCCAAAAGCAATTTTATGCTTTATGGTATGTGATGCAAGGCCACGGTCAAATTGTGGCTTCTTGTAGGCCATCATTCAGCATTAACTACTTGTGAAAACAACCAGAGGCTATTGCTACTCACAGACCAGTTCAACTCTAATATAAAGGGCAGCCAACCTGGCAGCCTCCATACATCAGTGGACTACAACTCCCATCAGCCCTAGTCAGCATGGCCAATGGTCAAGGATGATGGAATTTGAAGTCTGCTGACATCTGGATGGCACCACATTGGCTACCCCTGACCTAAGGCATACTTTTGTAGCTGAACTGGGTGGGGGAATAGAGGATTATATTCAACTAAGGTTTTCCCATAGCTTTTGAGTTCATTGGGTCTGCTCTGAGTAGGACTAGCATTGGGCTACAACCCAAGTTGTAGCCTTGGCTATTAATTTAGAGACTATATAGCACAATGGTTTGGATCTTAAGATAACAGAAGAAAGTTATTCCCTCCCAGCTGCCTGCACCCCATCGTACATTATTCAGGAGGTCTCCTGCTTTGCAGAGGGCTGCAGGCAGGAGTGGAAATCTAGCTCAAAAAGACAGAAGGCCCCCAGCAGGTGATATGAAGCGGTGGTCAAATTGGGGCCCCTTGCAAGTCAAACCTACACGTTAAGCACCTCAGCCAAGAGACAAGCCAAACAAACATATGACTATATAAAAAAACTGAGGTGTTCTAAAGTTTGCTGTAGCCTGTTTAATGGTGTGAATGTATATAAAAATCTTTCGATTAAAATACCATTTAAAAATAACTGAAAATAAATTTTCTAGGTATTTCAATTTCACTCTGTTAAGCTAACAGAACTAAATGGTTAAATATGGAAAACCTGACAGAAGTAAAAAGTTAATACTGGGACCTCAGTAATAGTTAAGTGGGCTGGGACTGTGCTTTAAAATAAGTAGGTAAGCTCACTGCAAAGGTAAATGGGAAACCTTCCTTGTGTGGAATTTCCTTTCTTAGGATTCCAAGCCAATGATAGGGTTGCAAATGGAAATGATGACAAGAAGTGATCGCTTCCTTGCTACAGCAACGCCTTCTACTTTTGGTTATCCTTCCAGATGTTTTTGCTGTGTTCTTCAAAAAGAAGATTGAAACAGGTCTGCCATTTCCCTCAAATGTCTGAGCTTTACAGGTATATCACTGTCAATGCATCTTGGATTAGTGTCATGGAACCAATTTAGGTAACCTCCCCTCCTCTCCTCCTTCCCTCCCTCCTCACTTCTCCCTCTAAATCTAAAATCCCTCCATAGATTCCATCCTTTATAGCATTCGAGAAAGGGTCTTAAGGAGTATACTGTAGTATATGGTTCCGAGTCGGTGAAGTATTACAGTGCGATCCCCAGAGAGCATCACGTGAGAGTGAGGCTGTGATTTAGCTGAAACCAGAACACAAGCCTTGCTGGATCAGGCCAGTGATCCGTCTAGTCCAGCCTCCTGATTCCCACAGTGGCCAACCAGATGCAGCCAGGAAGCCTAAAAGTGAGCCACGAAGGCAGCCATCCTACTGCATTGTATACCCCGGCACCTGGTGTTTAGAGGTGCACTGCTTCTGAAAGCGCACACCCATTTAGCTGCCCTAGTTCGTAGACTTTGACAGGCTTATCCTCCATGAATGTGACTCATTTTTCTATTTGCTCAATTACATAAATATCAAGAAATGAGTAAGCAATCCAGACATCTCCCCACCCCCAAACAAGCCATATAATCCTAGCTGGGGATTGTTATACACTTTTTTATTTTTAAATAATTAACGATTTATTGGCATGAACATGTACAGAATAAAAATGATGGATATGGCAAACAAAAATAAATGTAAAAGTAGAAAATTAAACACAGAGGAGGGGTAAAAAAGAAATCAAATCTAGCACAATGATATGAAACATCCTTTGGCTGAAAGATCAACTGTTGGGATTCTTGAAACCTTTCTTTATCATATCTATCCAGGTGGACTGTTTGCTGCATCTTGATGTTTATAACCAAGTTTTATATCCGATATCTAAATATTTCTCTGAATTTCTGACTCACAGTTAATATTTCCAACAGACCCTTATGCCTTTAAGAGCTGTGTAGGAAGTATAAATTCAGTGGGTGCCATCTTTACCCTATGATAGAGATACATAGCTAAGAAAGCCTGCACATGCACCTTTTGAATATATCTTAATTACACAGTTCGTAAATGTTACCATTTCATCAGCTTCCATTTAGCTCTTCAGCAGTGTGATCCTACACTTGCCTGTTCCAAAGTAAGTCCCACTGATTTCATTGGGGCTTACTCCCAGGTAGGTGGGTATAGGGTTGCTGCCTAACTCGCCTCCAAAAACCTAAAAATGACTCTTTTCACTAATAAGTTGGTAATTTTTCACTCCCCCAAGTTTTTCCTAAAATTTCCTTTAGGCCTCTGCAACCAGTTCCACAATAATACAGCTCTCATCTTCTTCCTTTTCAGTAATTTATTTTAAAATGGTTAAGGTAGAGAACTATCCTTAGGTATGACTCTTAAAGGGTGATATTTTCTCTCAAGAGCCTAAAACAGGGCCTTCCAGGGGAGGGGGTGGAATCACACAACTTGTTCTGTATTTCAGAACTTTTCTATATCCTTTTATAAGAGCTAATTTCCATATGTTTTCCAGTAGGAAAATGATCAGTTGCCTAAGGATTATACTGTGTTAGGCAAAGCCGTATGGTGAAGTTTATTACCCATAGACTTGAAAAACTGAAACAGGATCATAGGTAAACAAAAAAATTATTCAAAAGGAATAAAATCTGAAGTGAGAGAAGCAGGCTGAGGGCTGGATACAGAATGCTAACTGCACTGGACAATTTTTTGAAAAGGTGACCATGGTGACCTTGAAACATTTTTTTCAAAAGGTGTAATATTTATAGAGCAGTGAAGGCAAGTTTGGAAGGACCCTCACTGCGTTCAATGCAGCTTTGCTTTGTTCTTTCCGGGGTCAAGGGGAAACAGCTATGGCAATGAATTGGCTAGTTCCCATGATGTCACCAAAATACAACCACAATCCTGTAACTTTCTTTTTAACATGCTGATGGAGAAATGTATATGTGTGCCAATAAAGTTACATGTGTGACAGACAGCTTAAAGAATAAAAAGGCAGGCAGTCTGCATGGAAACAGGGGAGGGGAAAACTGACAAGCAAATAACAAGGACATTCTTTTTGTACAACTTCATAAGCAAGGACACACAACCTGCTGTGACTCCTCTTCAGATGTTACATCTGCCTTTGTTCTTAAAGATGTGAAATAGATCAAGAGTTTCTAAGGTAAAAAGGGAGATTGGTAGTCGGGAGATCTTTACATCAAATATTACCATAGTTCCTGAATAAGTCACTTAACTGTTATTTATGGGGTTTAGCGGTTTCCCATTTGTCCGCAGTGCCTGTTACAGAATAGTTTGCTCTCATTCTGATTCCAAGAACTAATCCAGGGATAGGGGATCTCTGGCCCTCCAGATATTGTTGAACTGTAGCTCCAGTCATCCCTGTCCATTGGCATCCTCATTGAGGCTGATGGGAGTTGGAGTCCAGCAACATCTGGAGGGCCATAGGTTCACCATCCCTGGCCATAGATGGAGGAAATGGAATAGGGACGTAGAGCACTTACCTCCTCAGGCTGCCAAGTCCCAACCTTGTGCCTGTTTTTCTCTGTTAGAGAAGTAGAAAGTGTTGCATATGGACATCAACATGAAATGAAAATTCGGCTTTAACCGAGTTTAAATAGTTCCATTGTGTAGGCTGATGTGAATTTGTCTGAATGTACTTTTCTGATCAAATTTGTCTTCATTCAGGCCACAATCTTTTATCCAGTAAGCCCCATTGAATTCAGTGGGACTTACTTCTGAGTAGGCACATATAGGTTTGCATTATCACCTTTCTTCCCTTTGTACTGATATATTCCTATTGAAAGGTCTGTGGGAACATCAGCTACATTCTCCTTAGCACTTTTCTGAAGCATGTGCAGAGAAATTCTTCAGTCTACTAAGAAATAATGTGTGTGTAGAAGTATACACATGCTGGGAAGTAAAAGAGGAACATGACTGTATCATTTTATTTTGATTTCTTTTTAAAAGTCACATTTGAGCCTGAAAATGACTGGGTTTGGAAACGATTGGGGCACCAAAGTACACCTAGTAATGACAATCCTAAAGCTAAAGTCCAGTATATAATGTTATATTTTTAGGAGCATGCCCAATATATTTTAAATTTACATGTAGAAATATGAAGTGTGAATGCAACAAACACAAATTATATATAGTGTAATCCTAAACATGTCTATCCAAAAGGAAGCCCCATTGAGTCAACTGGGACTCACTCTCAAGTAAGTCATATGCCAAGTTATCTGCTAACTGCACTCAATGGCAACCCCATGTTTGCCTCTCTGTGTTGGCCTCAAACCAGAAATGGAGAGTGTGTGGCCCTCCAGAGTTGGTGGATTCCCATCAGCCCCAGCCAGCCAATAACCAGGGATGGTGAAAACTCTAATCCAGTCACATCTGAAGGTCACAGGTTCCCTATCCCTGCCTTGAGCTTTCAAGCTACTAAAATCAAATCCAAATTTTGAGTCATGGCAATGTTTATTCATCCTGCAACCCTTCTTTGGGGGATAAATTAAATATCCGGCCATTTATTATTCTGGGTTACTTAAATGAATCCTTTCTTTTTTTACTTTCCGTTCAACTGTTAAAACACTCTCCACCCCCCACCCTGCACACACATATACCCTTGGCCAAATATTCCCGTCTTGTGTTTCGGCTGCCCACAGGCCACAAGCCACTTAACATTTGTGCCACTTCAAAGTAAACAGTCTGTGAACTGCAGCTGTTCTCTTTCTCAATAGTGCCATTAAGCGTTGCAGTATAGGAGCCCCATTAAGTTTCCTCCACAATGAAACCATTATGTAAAGGCAAAAGGATCTCATAACCCAGTTTGTTTTGTCAGAAACCTGAGGCTAGCCAACTGCCAGAGAACACAGGCATTCTTCAGGTTCAGTGTGGGTAACTTTGAAGGTGGCGTCCGTCCCCCCCCACCCGCCACTCACCCACCCACCCACCTTTGCAACAGCATCAGGTCTTGGCATGCCAGTTGCTGAAGGCAACACCTTTCAAAGACTTTACCCCATTAAAGTACCTCTGTTTCTGCTCTCTCTTTTTAACTGGAATAGGTTAAAGCTGTCAAACTAAAGCCCTTGCCAGATTATCACTGAAGTAGTTACACCGTGCTCAGCAAAATTCCACAGAGAATGTATTTATTTCCTGCCTTTAACTTCTGTGTTGTGCTGTGGGATATTAAACTCCTTATTGTGGCTGTATTCCAAATTAGGTTTTCATCTCAAAATGCCCTTTTTTTAAAGGACACAAAGGAGCTATGAAGTTCACTTTCCAGGGAGTTCTGTAGAGCAAAGATGCTTTGACAATGTGATCAGCTGAATTCCGTCTCCATTGTTCCATTGGCCTATAGGGGGTTCAGTTAGAGATTTCACAGCGCTGTGGTGAAATTCTCTTTCATGAAAATGTACAGAGCAGTACTGTATGTATGGTTCTCTGGAAGCCTTTCCCAACCTAGTGGCCTCCATATTCTTGGACTCCAACTCCAATTACTCCCAGCCAGCATGGCCAATGGTCAGGGTCTATGGCAGTTGTAGTCCAATATCACCTGAAGGGTAGAGGTAGGGCTAGATCAACTGGTATGTTCTGTGGAGGTGAGGATTATTTGTATTCTGTTGGGTTCTGTGAAGTTGTCTGGTGAACTATCTAGAATTCTGAGAAACTTCTGTTGTACAAAAAGACCTGTTTGACTACATTGCTCTCTGGAATACCCTGTTTCAAGGTTCTAATGAATGGGTGTATAGTTCTATTAACTCAGGGGTGCTCTCTGACAAAGATACGGGGTATTCTTTATTATGTATCCATTTGTGTGTTTGTCTGCATACACATACATGAGACCTAATAGATAAATACAGGCATTTAAGTAAATTGGGGAAGATATAACCCTTCCTGGCTTTCATTCAGGTTCATTTACACAATGGCAGAGACAGAGATTTGAAAGCTCCCGAGTCCTAGAACAGTTGTAAGTCACTTTGGATTGCCTTGGGCAAGATAAAGCAACTGACAAATTTTAATAATAGTAGTAGTGGTGATGGTGGTGATGGAGAACCTGTGGTCCTCCATATGGTTTTGAACTGCAACTGAGGCTGATGGGAGTTGGAGACCAATAACAGGTACCCTATCCCTGTCTTTGAAGAAGGCCAGGCCAATTGACTGTGCTCATGTTTTAAATATTATTCTTCACTCCAGTTCTGTCTTTGCTAGCAAATTAGTTGTGGCAATAGAGGTGATCAGAATCTGCTTCTTGACAGCAAGCAATGAGAAAAGGTTGTGCACCTCTTGAGATCTCTGTAAGGCCTTCTAGCCACCACAAAGTAACCTGGGATCAGCCCAGGGACTGGGGGCACATGCTGTAAGTTCCCATGGGCTCCTATGGGAGGAAGCGGGGTATAATAACAACAGCAGCCACAACAAAATTGTGATGATTAACGCACTAAATGAAATTGTGACTGGCAAGTTCATCGTTTGATCTGCTGCCTGCTAGAGACAGCCACTTCTAAAGTTCCATTTCTGCCATGAGGTCATACGGTTTGAGCTAGCCACCTCTGAACTCCTAGCCTTGATTTTGCTGTATTTGCTTCAGTGGCCTGATAGATAAAAGAGTTGGATTTGAATCTGGGAGATCTGGTCTGAAGTTTTGTCTTCTGTCGTGGAGGCATGCTGTTCCCTTGCACAAGGCACAATCTCTTTGCCTCAGTTCCCTGAACCTACCTCACTAGCTAGTGTGACTCATGCCTATTTGGGGCATACCCAGTGTTTGATAGGTGGGCGCCTTAAACTCCACCCCAACAAGCAACCCCTTGGCCATTCAGAAGAAGCACAGTACATGTGCATGTGGTCCTATCTTAGTCTGGCAAAATGCCCAGAGGAAGAGAGTGGGCGTTACGCTGCCAGGCATCTCTGCAGGGCCATCACTTGCATTAAAATAGTAGTTCCATGTGTATTATGCAGTTGTGACCAATCTTTTTTGATGAGTACGCCACCAAATCCAATCTAAAACTGAGAGGGTGCCACATCCCAAATGAATGCAGCTGTTTCACCTTCATCCCACTTATGACTCAGTGTGGTTTTGCTTCTGGGTCTGAGGAGATGAAAAGTGTTGGAGAAGCAAACACGACTGTGACCTTTCCAGGAGTGCCACACTTCCCTGCTACTCATGCCACAGGTTGCTCAGCTGTGATGGTTAATGGGTGATCCTGAACTTCATGATTTGCAACTTCATGAACTGATTTGCAATTGAGAAGGAAATTCTGCATTAGCCATATGGTGGCTGTTTGCTCCTTCTGTCTCCCAAAATACGACCTGTGAACACACACCAAAATTGATGTCCTGTGTGTGTGCGCACTTTTTTTTTAAGTGCATAGAAAATCTGCTGGTGACTAGAGCTGTGTTGCTTTTCAGGGGACCTGCTGGTTACTTTTGGAGGAGAAAGCAGTGGGGGACTGTTCTATAATTGGTTTGTTTTCAGATTCATAGAGCAGATAGGGCAGGGATCCCAGAACAAACAGCTTTAGATGTGTATCAACCCAGAGCAAATGTAAGTAAACTCCAAACAGATCCCCCCCACCCTCGAAATCTCTCTGTAACTTTCCTAATCAGCTCGAAACACAAAAATGGTTGTTTCAAGCTGTCTGTTTTCTGCACCTTTTGCTCTAATGGGTCGAATTAGTTTCACACTTTATTCCCACCTTAGCCAAGATGATTCTCATCTGTCATGAGGTTAGGTCCAGCTTCTGTGCTTAAATATGGGAGAGGAGTGGGGGACATTGGGGAATGTCTATGGAGGAGATAAACCCGAGTGGTTTATGGAAAGATACAATTGTTTTTGCCGAGAATGGTGAAATCATGAGTGTGGGTATGTTGTCACAAACCACCTTGGAAGCTGCAAAGGCAAAATGTGTAGTTGCTCCCATTAGTTTGGGTTTCTTGAATGCTGCTGTTGCATTTTGGCATCTGAAAGATGAATTTCCCAAATTCGACAAAATGTTAGCACCTGCTGTTAGGGATCAGTCAAGCTGTGTCAAAACTAAAAGGAATAATAGGACTGCATGCCTTAGTCATCTCTTCCTCTATGACATAGTCTGTGTGAATATGGGCAAACAATGGCTGTTACAGGAAATTATGTGTTCCAGGGAGACTGCCTCTCAATTACAGTTAGCTCGCCCTGATGACAAGCACTAATTAGCCATGATACCCAAAAGATTTATCTTTGTGCAACACTTGAATATCCACAAATATTTAATACAAAACTCTAAATAGGAATTGGTATATCACATGCACATCATAGATTTAAAGCACATTTTTACCATTTTAACACTCATGACTTCCCTCAAAGAATCCTGGGAACTGTCATTTATCCCTCACAGAGCTACAGTTCCCAGCATCCTTAATGGACTATTATTGTTCCCAGCATTCTTTGGGGGAAGCCATGTACTTTAAATGTGTGAGCTCCAGTGGAAGATTTCTGCCCAGGCAGAGTGGGGGCCAATTTCATTTGAGCCCAAAGTGGTGGCAAATAGTTAAAACTCCCCTTCCCCCATGTCATGGTCCTGACCTGATTTGAGGCCCTCCATACTAGCTATTGGTTACAGAAAAAACAACTACTCAAGGGCAACTTACGTCACATCTGTAGATTTTAATCCTAAAAACTGTTTTGTAGCATGTGGGAAACTGCAAAGCTTTCTTCCAGGTAAATACATTTACTATTTTGGCATGCAAGTTATTGAGCAGTAATGTCCACTGTGCAGATGGCAATTAAGTAGAGGCAAATTATTTGGAAGACGGCATTATGAATAGAAAAGGGTTTTTGTTTTTTTCAAATAGTGTAATGGAACAAGTTTCCTGCACTAAGGAAATAATGCAAGGACAGCAATTTATTTTACTCATCCCTTGGAAGCAGAAAAAGAGGATGCCATGTACACAATGCCAGCAGCCTAGCATATGAGTGTTGGTTTGCTAATACGCTACCATTTTGACGTTAGCATTGAACTGGCTTTTTTTAACTGTCAAAACAAAAGGTTTTGTTTTCAGCATAATATATTCAGTAGGCGGCATGGAGTGAATCACATATGTTCAATCACGCAATTAGATGCTGAATGTCTCATGTAATTTTCCAAGAGCACACCTTAGAATATTTTAAGCACCAGTCTTCCTCTTGCTCATTCTCTTAAACCCTCTCAACGAGATTAGGATCCATACTTTTGCCAAATGTAATTTTGCAAATCTGTTTTGCACATTGTATTAGACGCACAGCAACATTTGAGACAAGCAAGTTGTCATTTTAATTGTGTTACTCAAAAACGGGCTAATCTGATTTGCTCTTCAAGCGTAAAATCATTAGCTCTTTCCCGGGAGCCAGCTGTACGTGACTTGGTTGATCTAAAGCCAAGAAGCTGGTAGCACAAGAAGATAATTGAGACAGGTTTAACTGATACTATACAGTCATTAAAAGATGAATCCTGCCTCCCATACAGATCTTCTTATTACTGACTTGACTTGGAGAGGGATAGGGCTCATAGTAGGACAAAATGCATCACCATCGCATATAATCTCTTTAAATTTTTACAGGTCTGTATGAATTCTCAATTAGAATTAGAAGTTTCAATATGAAAATGTTTTATATGTCTTCCAGATTGTATGGCATGTTCTGGGACCCCGCAAATTTCTGAGCCATAAAGCCCATTGCTCTCTGCTACACTAGAGGCCACTTTGCACAATTAGCCATTGAACTCTCCATCAACCTCTTTTGCTTATAATTTCAAGAAGTAGAGTGCGAAGAGCCCTGGAAGGATCAGGGGGTCTTGATTTAGCACTTCTTTGTGGAATTAAAGACCCTTGAAACATTATCTGAACTGTGTGGGAGTGAACAAGTTAGATGAGTACTGCTCTACAAAGTTTAAATGACACCCCCCCTCCAATGTGGGCTGTGACTGAACTCATGGGTCTTTCCCATGGAAACTGTACTCACCTGGTATGATTTTCTAGGTTCTGTATCCTTGGTCTAGAGAAAAAACTGAAAGGTATGGAGTTGTTAGTACAACTTGCCTGGGGTCCAGTATAAGTATTTTTCTACAACAGCCTTATGGGACTTATAGTTCATAACATCTGAAGGGAACAAGGTTGAAGAAGCCTGGTGTAGAAGACTCTGGAAAGTCTTATGTGTGTATTTTGACTTGGATAATAACCCCTAAGTGCTGGTCAGTAAACAAGCCCTGTGTTAAATCTACCCTAATGCCTGGGTAGGTACATACACAGAGCTTATTTGTCCCATCCTGTCTTGCCCTTAAACATTCTGCTACAGTTTCCTGGACTTGTTAAATTTTTGTTCTAATTGACCTGTTCCCCTGGCTGTTTTCAGAAGGAACAACTACTCTGCTTTCCCAAATATGTCAGATTCCATAGGGGTCCCTATCATTGGTTCTGTCTCCTTGCCTGCCCTGGCTGAATTCCCTGGGCCTGAGTTGGCTTCATCTCTTAGACCTGTTCAGGGGCCCCGTGTCATTAAATGAACCCTACTCATAGCTTGATGGAGACAGTTAAAAATGCAAACATAGGTTTTGCCTGGTTGCAAACATCAACATTCAGGCCATAGGCCATTAAAATTCATGGGGGAAAACCGGGGCAAAGAAGAAAATGGAAATTAATAGGGAGGTCCTGTTTATGCCTTACAAATCCAAATTATATACCTCTTTTGAAAGGGATAGATCTTAATTCATGATGTGATTGGAATTTTCCCTGTATTATCCATACCAAATCAGGATACATAGCAATGTGTGTGTTTTTGTGTGGCTTTGTGAGAGAGGATGTTATTGAAATGCTTAAACAATAGCTATTGCAATGTTCAGGCTTATTGACATGATGTTAGGAGATTGCATATCTGGTCTATCTGCTAATCAACATTTAAATTGGTATATGGAAGTAGACTTCACCTATATCAAGAGAGCATGGAAGTGACACTCAATGGTCTAGTTTTTTTGGTGTGTGTGTGTGTTTAAAGGGATTCACTGAGGTCATATCTTACTTGCCTTACTCCAAGGTTCAAGATTTCAGTGAGCAAGATTTGGTATCTTATAGTTAAGTCATCAGAGTCTGAATGCAGACACAACATCAGTTAGTTTCAGTGAAATCAATTCCTTCCAACAAAAAAATAGTTTTTGTGCCAATTCAGCCTACTTTGTATACATCTGAAAGTCAGCTGAGTGACATTAGAGGTGACTGTAGCCCATTCAATCTACCATGTACTGGGTGAGTTTTGTTGCTTCACAAGGATTGCATTGGTAGGTAGCCAACAAGTGGCTGTATTTGTATTCTGTAAAATGGTCTTGCAGCACAAACAAGTTAAGCCTCTATAGCTGGACTCAAGCTACATTAGCCTTGTCTGCTTTAACTGCCAGCACTCTGGCTTAACTGCTATGTGGATCATGGCTATAGCGACTTTGCAATAAAATAAGGTGAAGAACATTCTTTGGAGCATACCAGGGTAAATAAAGTAGTAAAATGTGTTGCATCTTGATTTATTTTTTTTAATGAAGCTTGTTTGTATATATTAATATGCACATTTAAATACCAGAGGGTACATTACAAGTCCTCCTCTATTCATACTGGATTAGTTTGTTGATGGTGCTGTGCACTACTGCATTAAAGGGATCCAGATTCTTGAGGATGTGGTTCTAAAGCTGTGGTTTTCAACTTTTCTACCTTTAGGGAAGCCTTTTCACATCAGCTTGTGTACTGAAGGGCCCCTGGTCACCTGCCATTGGCCTGGTTTACATTTAACATTAAGCCATTGTTTGTTTAGCCACCAGTTTGTTCCACAGATGATTAAATAAACCATGGCTTGATTCTCCAAAGCTTGGTTTGTTTTCCAGCTGCTCTTGCTGTTGTAGATTAGTGTCGGGGTTTGGGGGAGGGAGAAACCATGGTTCAGGTAGAGTGCTTGGTTTGCATATAACACCAAGCCATAGTTAAAACAAACCAAGATTCATAACCCAACAACAAACTATGGCTGTGGTTTCTGGGTAGTAAACAAACCATAGGCAGGCTTCAGGTTTAATTAACCATGTCTTAGTGTTGTTTGTGAACTAGGCCATTATTGCAGAGGATCTGGGGGCATTTTCTTGGGAACACTACTAAATGTTGAGGCAACCTACTCCCCATCAACTAAGAGTGCCCCTTGGAAAACAGACAACACTCCCCTGCAACTCCAGATTGAGAGAGCAGACTATAGTGGTGGGCAACCTTTCAGGTAAGCTTCTTTGTCATAATTGTACTAATCAAGGATTCCTTGCTGAAAAAATCAGCTATGGTGGACAAGTTTTACTGGAAAGCTTGCCCATCACTGTAGGTGCTATCATTCCCTGGAGCAGAGTTTGAAAACCATTGTTTAAAGGGTGTTAGAACCAGACTACAGCATGCTTGGCATCAAGCAAAATGAGGGTGTATGTGGCAACTTCTCACTTCAAATGATCCAAGGACTATGGATTAGAATCAATATTGGCTTTGGAGGTGGACACTTGTGTTGCTGACTCCTGCCCCAACTCCCAGCCAATGGTTAAGTGCCTCATTTACAGGGATCTAAGGTAGAAATATCAAAGAGTTTATATTGGTGGTCTGTATAGGCAGGTAAATACTCCAAATCCTATTTTTGGACATCTATAATAAGGACCCCGTAGGGTAGAGTGGGGTGCTTCAACGGAACACAGAAGGGACCACACAAACAGCAACAAAAATATAAGTGTATGTATATATTTATCTATAGCCTAATGTTTCTGTATTTGAATGGTTTTTGGAAATGTCAACAAGTGATTGTTCCTATTGTGTTTACTGCTCTGAAATTCTTTGCATGACTTCTGGCATAATAAAATTCTTTAATAAGGAAGTTATCTACATCTATATACATATATCTATATATATTGTTAGCCTGCGAAACATTCTTGTCAGATCAGCCATGTTTTGTGCAAATTGTATATTTCTGTTGTAAGAGCACCATTGGAATTTGACTTTGAATTAGTTGTTGGCATTAAAATATGTTTTTATGGATAATAAACTTGTCATTTAGTGTGCTGGGGCTGGCGAAACGCTGCAGTCATCCTTAAAGGTAAAGGTACCCCTGCCCGTACGGGCCAGTCTTGCCAGACTCTAGGGTTGTGCGCTCATCTCACTCTATAGGCCGGGAGCCAGCGCTGTCCGCAGACACTTCTGGGTCTTGTGGCCAGCATGACAAGCTGCATCTGGCGAGCCAGCGCAGCACACGGAACGCCGTTTACCTTCCCGCTGGTAAGCGGTCCCTATTTATCTACTTGCACCCGGGGGTGCTTTCAAACTGCTAGGTTGGCAGGCGCTGGGACCGAACGACAGGAGCGCACCCCGCCGCGGGGATTCGAACCACCAACCATGCGATCGGCAAGTCCTAGGCGCTGAGGTTTTACCCACAGCGCCACCCGCATCTCTGCAGTCATCCTTACACTTTCACAAAGCCACTAGGGAGTGGTGAGTAAATAGGTTAGTATGTATGCAGTGATAGTCTCTTTGCACTTGGTACCGTATATGTGCAAAGCAAGGTATAGCTCTCTTGGCTTAATCAATGCTTCTCATCTTGGTTTCTCTCTTAGCCCAAATCCTCATTAAGAAGTCAAATCAGTGCAGCAGCATGCCCCCAATATTAGGCAAAGGAAATTATGTATATACTTCTGCTATTAATAATTTCTACAGTAGCTTGAAGTGGGTGAAATGTTTTGCCACACAGCTTAATTTACCCCTCCAAGGCCCCTGAGACGTAGGTTACGGTGAGAGATAATGACTTGCCCAAAGCTGTCCAGTGAGCTTCATGGAGTGAGTTGGGATTTGAAGCTGTATCTCCTGTTACCAAATTAAGCCTTCAGCAATGGCATCAGCCTTCCCCAACCTTTCTGGAATGTGAGACAATTTGTTGATTTTGCTGTTATAGCCATTTATTTCACAGATTTCTAGCCTGCTTTTCTGGTAAAACCTCTACAGTGCGAATTACAACACAGGCTAAATAATCAGTCCATTCAGTGCCTGAATAATTAAAATAACAAATAAGATAGCAGCATATAAAACTTCAATTCAAAGTGCAGTAACCAAGTAAGTATTTAGAATCTCCTAAAGGTCTTGCATACATGGAAAGGGCTATACAGTACTAACTTCCCAGGGCAGTTTCCCATAGTTGTGGGGCCACAAACGTTTCAAGACTTATCTTAAAATATGCAGATTTGGGGGGGCGGGGCGAGAGGACATGACATGTTGATTTTCTGTCTGTCATTCAAGTGTGCTGAGACACAAAACCTCCATGGGGGAGAGGTCTGGAACCCTAGATGTTTGTCTGACTGATACATTAAACTACCCTCACCATAGTGCTCTTCAGATCCGCCACAGATCACCCCCACCCGCCTGAAGATGGCAAAATTGCCACTAGAGAAGCGGGAAGAGCGACTCTGTATGTGTATATGTTTATTTGGAAATAAGTCATGTTGAGTTCAGTGCTCCTTGCTTCCTAATAAAGGCGCAAGAGAGATACGGTAAAATCCTTAGGGGATTTTTTATATTATATTAATATGCATAGGTAATAGAATTATACTGTATGTACACACGTGTGTGTATTTATGTAATTTCCGGACTACAACTCCCATCACCCCTCACGATCGGCCATGCTGACTGGGGCTGATGGGAATTGGAGTCCATCAGCGCAACACCCCCCTCTCTCTCCCCGCCTCAGCATCGCCTCGCAAAACGAAAGAACGGAGTGACGCAAACACAGCTCGTGCCCTATCAGCAACTGCCCCACTCCCTCCACAGCGTCTGCAGGTGACGTTGCAAGAGTGGGAGGGCCGACGTCACCCCGCCCACGAGAGAGGGCGGAACTGAGGGGGTGAAGGAATGAGCGTCTCTGATGCTTGGCGCGTACTGATGACATCACGACCTTTCGCTAAGGCCCTCTCCTTCCGGAGAAAGCGATAGGTCGTGCGCCTGGCGTAATGATGGGAACGCCGGCAGCTGATAGGGTGGAGGCGGAACGGGAGGCGGGGAGAAGCGGGCCCTTGCCGGAAAAAGCTCGCACGTGTCCAAGCGGGGGACGGTTCCTACGGGGTCGCGTGGCTTCTCCCTTTCGTCAGCTGAGGCCATGAGCTGCCCCGTCACCTGCGCTGCTTGGGTTCCTCGCGGCGTCGCCAAGGAGACGCCCGACAAGGTGAGCGTGGAAGCGGCAAGCGGCTTTCCTTCCTGGCACCAGCTGCCTCTGAGCGTCTCTCTCGTTAGTCCGAAGCAGCAGCGGTGCAGTCACTTACAGGGCTACCAATGCAACGAGGGAGCTTTATCAGTGCTCAGGCAGGAAAATGGTCGAAAGAGAGAGAGGGCGAAGCCAGTTCTAGTCTGCAGTTTGTAACAGCAGCAGCGCTGTGGAATTTCTCAGCGCAAGCCCTGCACGAGTCTGTTCAGAAATAAGGCCGTCGAGCTAAGTAGGGCTTACTCCCAGGTGTGTGTGTTTGTATTGGGAGCTTAAGTAGGCTTGGGCGTGTTAAACTGTCGGATGGCAGCAAAGACCGTACGAATAGAGAAGCCATATCTCCTGTCTCCTGGAAAATATAAAAGGCAACATTTATTAGGATCTGCTTCTTGGATTTCAATGCCCTCCCGGTGAGACATGTTCTGATTAATACATTGTGGTATATATTATTATACAATGTTTATATCCTGTCTTTCATTCTAAAGTTTATAACGTGACTTAGAACAACTTCTGTTTCATGTAAAATCAATCTAAACCCCTCAGCAAGGGAATAGTCATAAAAAAACCTGTTGCCTCTTTTTCTTTTGCCCCCAATGGAGCCATGTTGCTACTTTTACCATTTTTGCCCCTTTTCTTTTGTGTAACATCCCTCACCCACCAAGCCTTGGCCCAATATTTACTTGTAGCATTCAGCCGCCTTCTTGTTTTTGCTTGAGGATTGCTGATGGGGCCTTATTGGAGAAGTCTCTAGTCATAATGAAAAGTTGCGTAGAATGTGGATATCTGTTACTTTGGGACACTCCAATTCCAGCTTGTCCACCCAGTGCCTCTCATTGTTGAAAATATTGTTCTAAGGTTACTGCACAGCTGTTCCGTGATGTTATTGATTCTCAGTTTCAATTTGTTTTCAATGGCTTATTTGATTGGGCTGAATAAAAGCATGCTTTTAAAAAAGTCAAGGATGCTACTGTCTGTTAGACTGTGTTGATAGAACTTCTTTACAAACCTATTCAAATGTCCTTTTAAAGAAAAACTACCTGACATGAATTAAATTGTAATTCTGTACTCTGTGTGTTCACTTTGCAGGTTCATCTTGAAACAGATGAATTGAAACGCTTGGTCTCTGAAGCCAAAGAGAGACTGCAGTAAGTCTTGGTAATATTGAAGCAGAAATTAGGTGAAAGTTAATATATTGTAGGTCATACTGGTGTTTTTAATCCTAGACAAGTTAATCTAGGAACTCAGCTAGATTTGTAAAGAAAAGGCATTTTATATGTGTTGCATATATGATATAACACTGTGACATCAGGTGACGCTGTGGTGTCCTGTCTTTCCCTACCGGATTTCCCTGTATGAGTTTGTAATACGTTTAACTGAATCGCTGCTTTGACGTGCCTAGATAAACTGAATTTTACTGCATTCCAGCACCTGTCAGGTGGACAGGTTAACAGAATGAGTTGAATAAGAACATAATAAGAGCTTGCTGGATCAGACCAGTGACCCATCTAATCCAGTATCCTGTTCTCACTGTGGCCAACCAGATGCCGGTGAGAAACCGTCAAGCAGCAACTGAGCACATGAGCCTTCTTCCCTCCTGTGGTCTCCAGAAACTGGTATCCAGAAGCATTACTGCTTCCAACTGTGGAGGCAGAACAGAGCCTTCATGGCTGGTTGCCATTGACATCTTATTCTACATGAATGGTGAAGAAGCATAGAATGGTATAAGCGAGAATATAAAAGAAAATTGTTTTCTTGCGTATTTCTAGGTTTGTTCTCAGCTACACCTTTGCTTGCACATGTTCATAAGACATAATAATTTTAAAAGATTATTGCTCATGTGTTACATTTTTGTACTTGATTTCCGCAGAATGTCTCTCAGCCCAGGATAGGAAAATAATACTGTCTTCTGCATCCGTAGGAGTAAACCTGCCAAGAGCAAGGATATGAATGTTAACTTTCACATCCCTGCTTTGTAACTTTTTTGGTCCACAGAGGAAGCAAAACATTTGAAAATAGTATGAGAGGGGAATAAAATATAGCTACACAAGCTGAGGATGCCACTGCGTATAAGGTCATAGTGAACCTATGAACCTGAGTGATGAAGTAGCTTATATGGAGGGTATTTGATTCAGTTAGGTGCACACAGGTTCCTTCATGTTAGAAGGAGAGTAAAAGCTGCAGCTTTGGCACTGCGATGTTTGGCCTGTTCATTTCTGCCATTAAGGTGGTTGCTGCTGCTACTCAATACTAATACATCAGTGAACCTCAAGGAAGCAGGTGTGAGACTTACAACTGAATCCTTTCCATATGAATGCTTACTTGGGAGAACAATGCACTGAGTTCAATGGGAAGTGTGTTTAAGACTTGCAGAGTCAGTGGAAAAGAAGTGATACGGAATTGTGTGTTAGTGACTACTAAGTGGTGACATTCTAGTGACAGTTGTGCAAAGTATGTTGTACTTTTTCTTGCATAAAGAGATGCTAGTGATGATGATGATGGTGAACAGGAAGAGGCTTCAGGAGGCACAATGGATGTTGCTGATGCTGAGGCAACTAGCTCAGCTCCCAATGATGAGGACCATGAAGAAAATGAAAAGCTGGATGACGATGAACTGGCAGAATATGACCTGGATAATTATGATGAGGAAGATGAAGGTAACATTAGACTTGTTTCTGTGTTTCCTACCATCCACCAGCAAATTCTTCACAAGATGTTGTAATATGTTTGCTCTGAGTATTGGAAGATAGATCACAAAGGGTCAATGTTGCATAGGAATGAGTATAGAGTTGAAAACACTCCATAGGAATTAGTACTTGTATGAAATCAAGGGAAATGGATTTATACATTTTATGGGCAAGGAGCTTCATTTGAAGTGCCACTTGACTTTCATCTGTTTTTGATAATGCAAAGGAGGTTTGGGCTTCACATGGTTTGGAAGATCAGAAAGGGCTTCGTGGACAGGATAATCTGCCTTGGGGAAGGATCCTCCAGTCCCAGGATCCAAAAACTAAGAATCTACCTGGGAATAAGGCACATTGAACTAAGGGGCACTTATTTCTGAAGGCATGGATAGGATTACATTGCAAAACTTGCAAGTTGAATGAATACCTTCACAGGATTTGTATCTGGCTGCAGTGAGGAAAAGGTTAACCTTTGCTCTGATCTAACAATGCTCTTCTTATTATCTCAGGAGAGGACTCTTATCGCTAAGCCTGTCAATTATTTAAACCCTGAGTGTGGAGGAAAACTTGATCCACCAAATCTTTTTCAAAAGCAGTCACTCTTCCCCATTAGGAAAGGATGGGGAAAATTTCTAATAAATGGTGAAAAAAAGCTACTACAACTGAAGCACCAGAATAAAAATAATTAGGTATCCATCATCAATTTATTCGGTTTGGTCTTGAACCCAGATGCTCTGTGCTCTAAACACTTTTTCTGTAGCGAGATTACCCTGCAATAGGTGGATATTTTCTCCTCTTTACACTTAAATTGGTTCGTAGTAAATATATTTCAGTGAATTTTCATTAAGCTCCAGCTTTTAAAACCTTGTGGTGAAGGAGAGCTGTGCTTTTTGCTAAAATGTTGTTTTTTTAAAGGCAGACCGTTTTATGACAATTCAAATAGTATTTCATTGTTCCATCATAAAACATTTTATGTTCTCTCTTGTGCTTCATTTTGACCAATAATTTTACTAAGGAAACTGTTGTTGGCTAAGGTTTCACATTGATGTAAGTTTGACTTACTTAGCACAGTCTGCCATGTGAAATTGTGAATATTCTTTTACAGGCACTGAGAGTCTTGGAAAGACCCTAGCAGGTCTCACAGTGTATGGAAGCAATGAAAATGATCCTTACGTCACTCTTAAAGATACAGTGAGTACTTTTGTTGAACAAAAGTGGAAGCAAAACCTTCTAAACTCCTCCTAGCTGTTTGATCTATTCACATCATGCAGGGTACCCTTAGGGTTCCATGTGCATGTAGCCTGCATATTTGTGTATTGGGTTTTGTTTTACTTCATATGGTGTATAGTTATTTAACTCACGTCCCTTGTTACAGAAATATTTAAATTTCTAAAAGAATCAGTTGAGTTTGTTCCTTCACTTATAAGTATAGCCTCATTTGGAACTCCTTACACTCAAGACCAGCTTTTTGAGGTGACTGATTTCTCACCTTCATTTGTATTCTGTGTTCAGGGTTCCTTAAATTGACCTCTGTTGATGGTTTCCTCTAGATGTGAAGTTAGAGTGATGATCTTCTGCTCCTTTTCAACACTGTCACTTTAATCTGACTGCATTTCCTACTTAAAGTAAAGGTACCCCGGACCATTAAGTCCAGTCACTGAAAACTCTGGGGTTGTGCACTCATCTCGCTCTATAGGCCAAGGGAGCCGACGTTTGTCCGCAGACAGCTTCCGGGTCATGTGGCCAGCATGACTAAGCTGCTTCTGGCAAACCAGAGCAGCGCACGGAAACGCCGTTAACTTTCCCGCCAGAGCAGTACCTATTTATCTACTTGCACTTGACATGCTTTTGAACTGCTAGATGGGCAGGAGCTGGGACCGAACAACGGGAGCTCACCCCATCGCAAGGATTTGAACTGCCGACTTTCCAATCGGCAAGCCCTAGGCTCTGTGGTTTAGACCACAGCACCACCTGCATCCCTTGCATATCCTACTTATTTGGGTCTAAATCCCAGTGAAGTCAGTCAATCAGGAAATCCCACTAACTACGCATATTAAATTTATATACTGCTCTTCATCGCATAATAAAAGCAAGGTAAATGCATGCGCGCGCGCACACACACACACACACACACAAGAATCACACCGTATTTTTTGCCCTATAGGATGCACCTAGTTTTTTTTGGGGGGGAATAAAGAAGAAAAAATTATTTTCCCCCCCGGCATGGGGCTGGTGCGGGGGAAGCCCGAGCTTCCCCCGACCCCAGCCCCCAGAACAGCCTGCTATCTGCAAGCCTAGGGAGCCGCACACGTCTCCCCAGGCTTGCGGAGAACTGCATGAAGCCCTGGCACGCTCTTCAGCGCGCCCGAGGCTTCGGAATGCAGGCAGCTCTGTGCAACCTTTGGGAGCCCGGCGCGGCTTCCCGCCGGGCTCCCGAGGGTTGCACAGAGCTGTGCAGAACCCGGGAGCGTAGGCAGCTCTGCGCAACCCTCCGGAGCCCGGCGCCAAGCCGCGCTGGGCTCCAGAGGGTTGCACAGAACTTCCTGAAGCCTGGAGAGCGAGAGGGGTCGGTGCGCACCGACCCCTATCGCTCTCCAGGCTTCAGCGAAAGCCTGTATTCGCCCCATAGGATGCACACACATTTCCCCTTCATTTTTGGAGGGGGGAAAGTGTGTCCTGTAGGGCGAAAAATACAGTACTTTTGTATGATTGACAGTTTTGTCTGAAGACATTCTACTGTATCCTCTGGGACGCTTGGGGTGAGGTGGATTATTTTGCTACTCTTTTTGTATGCTCTGTGGTGGTGCTGTTCTGAAATATGGGGAAAAGGAAGGGATGGCAGGGATGAACTGTAATGGTGCATCTTGACTTTATTATGACTAAATGCATATATAATCTGTATATGTAGTAATTTTGTTAGGTATGTGATAATCCCAACAATATTACTTGAGGTTTCAGTTTTGGGCACTGATATCCCAGTTCCTCCTGCTAATCTTTGAGCTCTTTCTGAATGCTTAGACTGCAATCCTAACCCCGCTTACTTGGGAGTAAGGCCCATTGTATTCATTAGGACTTATGTCTGAGAGAGCATGGTTAGGATCGCACCCTTATTTATCCCATCAGGCACAGTGCTGTTTTTGAATGCTTTTTGACCCCTATATTCATAGAAGCTTAAGCTGATATCCAAAGAATCAAGCCACTAATTTAGTACACCCAAAGCAATTGAGATTTTGTTCCCTTGGGCAGCAGTTCACTGTATCACATAGCAACTGCTTTTGAAACAGTGGGGAATTTCAAGAGTAAGTAGCTATGTGGAAGGGGAAGTGGGTGGGGGCATCCCAAGTGTTTGAACGCACCTAAAATAGCCTTTGATTCTGACCATTGCGTACAGCAGTGTTCTAACACTACTGAGCATTCTCTTTTAGGAGCAATATGAACATGAAGACTTCATGATTAAGCCCAGTGACAACTTTGTCGTGTGTGGCAGAGTTGATAAGGACCACTGCAGTCTAGAAGTTCACGGTGGGTAAAGCCTTCTTGCTTTTAATATAGTGCTAGCAAATATTTGGTTTATCTGTTATTACAGTCAACTGCTTCTTTCGCCTATGGATTTCCATCATCTGAAAACGAGTTAACTTCAGACATTGCCTTTTACAGTTGCAGCAGGGGAAGGGAACGTTTTTGGCTTGGTGGGCCAGATCTGCATCTGTTCCCACCCTTGCGAGCTGACTTTGGCAGATGAGAATCGCCTAATGTCCAGGGTGGTTGATAGGTTGGAGTCTGCAGACCAACCGTCAGAGTCTGGCGAGAGAGGTGTTTCCTTGCGGCTCAGGATGCTCTGGTGTCCAAACCCATATGGGATGAACCACAGAGTGGATCCATCTCTTTGTAGCTGCAGTTGCCAGAGGAATCTTCCTTTGAGGAATCCTGGTCTAGGGCCACAACACGCCTGAGTTGTCATCTTTCACCTTTGCTTGCACTATTGTTTGTTCGGGGTGGTTAAACTTGCTAAATGCAGAAGTCAAACTGTTGCTGTTGACAACACAACTTTGTGTCTCGCTAACGACGCTAGGAGACTTTGTAAGCAACTCTGCAATACATCAGTTTTCCCCGCCTCCTACAAGGCGGGGAAAGAGGGAAAAGTTCATGCCTGTCAGGCTTGAATTGTAAGTTGTGTGGGCCTGACCTAAAGTAATTATACTGTGGTGCTGAAGGATCTTGGAAATGCTTTCACATACCTAACATTTGGTGTTTTCAGTACTTGATGCACACTGGCATAACTGCATGTTTGCTTCATATTCAAGGGTCTGCTTTGTTAACCAGTCTACTTTTTTTTCTCCACAAGAGGTTTTTTTTAAAATTATTATTATTTATTATCTCTAAGCAACATACACATGAAAGCTTTCCCAGCAGAATGGTCTCTGCCATGGGTGTCTCTTTCATTTGCTGCTCTTTTCTGTGTTTTTAGCTGTTTTTTAAAGCTGTTTTTGTCATATTGTGTGTCACCTTGACATATGTGGAAGAAGTTTAAGATATTATCGACAAAAACAAAAAGTATATAAATTACAAAATTTAATTCATACAGTTTATAACCATGAAGAGGACTCGTTTTACGTCCATCATGATATCCTCTTATCAGCATATCCTTTGAGTGCGGAATGGCTGAACTTTGATCCTAACCCAGAAGATTCTGCAGGTAAGTTAATTGCAAGATTTTTCTAAATTCCATTTGGTGCTTTTTGGATAGCAGTTTTGGCACATCTGGCCAGCACACTTCCCTGCCTCTTCCCTCCCCACAAAAAATCTTGTTTTAAAAGACTAATGGCTCCGGAATTGTTTTTATTTATGCATTTCTATACCATCCTTCACCATGCAGTCACCATGCATAGTACAGCATATTAAAACATACCGGAACATATTCTAAACCCAAGAGGGAAATATGAAGTAAATGCAACATAAAGTAAATAGAGGGTGCAATCACAAGTCATCTTTGCTTCCCAAAGCCTAGTGAAGGAGGTATATCTTCACCTTCCTTCTAAAAGGGTACAATGCTGAGGTATGTTGCATCTTAGTGGGGAGACAGTTCCATAGTTTAGAGCTGCCACTAAAAAGGCCCTATTATGCACCCCTATACTGCTGATATGGTCCCTCATTTTTTTATCTAGTGCAAGCTGACAACTGCTATTTATTTTATTGTGAGAATTTCTGATAATTACTCCCAAGTAGCTTTTAAATGTGTGAATTTTCACCTTATATTGTGTGCTGGATTTGGATGCAGGCAACTTAGTTTCAGATTTCCAATTGCCTGTGAAGTTCACTAAGTGTTTTTTGGCAGATTATTGTGTCTCTGAAGGCATGCAGGATACAAAGACAGTGATTAAAATCCTACTCTGTCTCACAGCACATTTTAATTGAAATATATTATGACAATACTATAAGGCTGGGGAACGTGTGTATTATATATGTGCATATTTGGTAGTATATAATATGTATGTCTGTTCAGTACCACAGAAAAATGAACAAGTATCTTTATTTTCAATGAGAAGTGGTTTATTTACTTAGCATTTATATCCTACTTACCTATGGTAAACTCAATCTCAAGAAAGCGTACTCATAGAAATCTAACATTGTGAATTCATGAGATGACCTGATTTAAAAATTGCAATCCTACTGAGGTAGTTCCATGAGGAAATAGCAGACACTAAAGGTAAAGGTACCCCTGCCCGTATGGGCCAGTCTTGCCAGACTCTTGGGTTGTGCGCTCATCTCACTCTATAGGCCAGCGCTGTCCGCAGACACTTCCGGGTCACGTGGCCAGCGTGACAAGCTGCATCTGGCGAGCCAGCGCAGCACACGGAATGCCGTTTACCTTCCCACTGGTAAACGGTCCCTATTTATCTACTTGCATCCGAAGGTGCTTTCGAACTGCTAGGTTGGCAGGCGCTGGGACCAAACGACGGGAGCGCACCCAGCTGCGGGGGATTCGAACCGCCGACCTTTCGATCGGCAAGTCCTAGGCGCTGAGGCTTTAACCCACAGCGCCACCCGCGTCCCTAGCAATGTGTTAAAAATGTGTAGGATTCATGAAGTAACTCTTGATTATCTTGGGTGTTCTTCCATCAGGGAATTATGTTGCTGTGGGCACAATGAGTCCTGTTATTGAAGTGTGGGACCTTGACGTAGTGGATAGTTTAGAGCCAGTCTTTTCCCTCGGAAGCAAGAAAGCAAAAATGAAGAAGAAGAAAGGGAAAAAGGTAAGTAAGCTGACTTTATTATCAATATCATAGTCTGTAGTAACTTTTTGGGATGAAGGCCAAAAGGAGCTTCTCACTTTCTGTGCTTACACATTGCATTTTCAAACCATTGGATATATTTGTTATTTACAGACCCACCGGATAGTGGTTTTGTTTCTTTTGGAAACAGTTTACAGATACCCAAGAGGGGGGAGGAATTGATTGATCATGTTTGGAACTCAGTATTGGAGAATTGTCGTAACTCATTAGGAGTGTCTCTATGCATAGGTCTGAACAGAGAGAGGTAACTTGGATTTAATTCAGAAGTATTTGGGTGGGACTAGTTCCCCGTAGACTGTTCCCAGTGATGGTAGCCACATTGACAAAGATGAGAAGTGGGGATTGGGGGCACTGTGGTTGGAATCAGGTGGAGGTGGGCAGCATCTTGTGGGACCTTCAGCTAGTCCAAAAGTATTTCCTCGAGGCATCTAGCCTCTCTTCTTTGAGCTTCAGTTTGTGAAGGGGCTTGTCAGCAGAAGGGCAGAATGGGGGAAAGAGACCGAGGATTTAGGTTGCAAGTTCTGCCCATGGAAAGAGACTGGCTGTATCTTGGGAAGGGCTGTAGCTCAGTGGTGGAGCACGTGGTATGTGTGCAGAAGGCTGAGCGTTCAATTCCTGGCACCTCTAGGTAGGACTGGGATAGACTTACGTCTGAATCCCTGCACAGCCGCTGCCATTCAGCATAGGCAACAGTGAACTAGATGGTGGACAACTGGTCTGACTTGGTTTAAGGCTGCTTGCCATGTTCCTAAGTGGGGCAAGAGAATATAAACTGGAATTGCCTCAGAAGCTGTAGGAACTCTCTGGACCAGGGCTGCGTGTCTTGAAATGATTGGGCCTAGGTTATTCATGTTAATATCGGTGGGCCAGCTCTGAGTAGGATCAGCACTGGCTACAACCCTGTGCTTTTTCCATGTTTCCTCCATGTAAAGGAGCATTGGAATTGGCTGCTTGAGCATGCTTGCTTATTGAAGTAAATGTGGAAGCTATAAAGGACTTCTTAATGTTTTTATATAAAGAATGCATCTAAAGAAGGCCACCAAGAAGGGCATACCGATGCAGTGCTTGACCTTTCATGGAATAAACAACTCAGGTAAGTAAAAATGAAGGTAACATAGCGTAAAGATAATTTGTAGAAATATTTTTGTGCGTGTGTATTCGCATACTTGAGCACAATTCTTCAATATCTGTTGTTATTGGAAATATGGTAGAAAATAGATTTCTGCCCTTGCTATGCCATAGATATTTAAGGGAAAAGTTAATCTATGTGGGAAAGGGAGATTTGCACCAATTTCTGGTGTAGATATGTATTTTAAACGTCTATATTTCTCTGGAGCTCCATTTTAAGTCCTTTTCAGATATTAGGTCTAGTCCTCTGTGCGTAAAAGGCCACACCGGGGGGGGGGGGGTGAGGGGCAGACTCTGTAGATCTACAGTGCCCATGTGCTAAGGCATGCACAAGCCTGTGCTTGTAGATGTACATTTGAATGTAGAGGTAGTACCTGCTGCCACCTCGTGTGTGTGTGTGTGTGTGTGTGTGTGTGTAAGATTAGATCTAATGTCTAAACAAGGCTTTTGTGTTTATTTTTGCTAGGAGTTCACTGGCAACTTTAATTGCTTTAGTTTTTTTTAGTGTCTCCATTCTCCAGAGGTCCCCATTCCAATCTGACAGTCTGGTTTATTACGAATCATGGCTATTAGTTGCTCCAGGACAATTGCAGCAGATGGCTCTTAGCTCAGACGCTTTTTAGTCAGCAAACCACAGGGCCTTGCCCTTTTAATATTCTAGCTGTTGGCTGTGAGACTAGGTAGTGTTGGGTAAGTAGCTGAAACCTCTGCCAGGTAGGCAGCAGCAGCAGCAGGCTGGTCGTCTTCCTCCTTAGCTCTAGCTTGCTCCTGGAATCTCCTACCTTTTGTAAAGGTTAATTAAATAGTTTAGGAAACAGAACTACATTGCCCATTAAGATAGGATGCTGGGATCAGGAAGCAAATTGCATCCAGCCTTTGCCAATCTTTATTTACCGTTGTAATGCAGTCAGCACACCTTTCAAATACTAATATAAGCCATTAAAAATGCATACGCATTTCAGTGGCTGGAATGACTACTTAAGACAATATGCACCCATTTTTTGTATTTAGGCAGCACTGTTTTGTATCTCTGAGCCTACAGCAGAGTTGAAAAGAGACCAAAATGGGCGTGGAATGGGTCTACACTTGGGCCACTGGGCCTTCACTTTGTTCATATGAATCCACACACCTCTTTCCTTCAGATCTGTGTTGGCGAGTGCGTCAGCCGACCACTCCGTAATTCTTTGGGATATGTCGAGGGGCACACCAGCAGCAACGCTTTCTCTTCACACAGACAAGGTATGTTGACAATTCCAGAACCATAGACTGTAGTATTTCTGCAACAACAAAACAAAAGAAATGTGTGGCGCATTTAAAGTCTAGCTATAAGCCATGGACTTGGTAATCTGTCTCCCCCCCCCCCCCCGCCCAGTGTTTAACTTTTTACCAGAAAACAGCAAAGAGAGCGCCCACCAGCCAGCTGGCTTCATGCAAAATTTGTGTGACCACTTTACTGGTAACTAGGTTAATCAGCTTCTTACTGCTTTGCTGGCAGTACATTTAGCACCTGTGTGGCAAATGAGAGTTTATTAAGGCCCCCGGCACAGAGGAAGTTTTACCTGCTGCATTATTTCAGTCTTGTAGTTCTTAAGGACAGGAGCCCTGCCTGAAAAAGCAGTTAGAACTCTGGGTGTATATCAAAAGCAAGCTCTGATGGTGTATTCCTGCTCTTCTCCCTTCTGGGAGCTGGTAAGATGAATAGTGCCTCCATCAGGATGTCTAGATTGAGTGCTGTAGGAATGCCTGTTTGCTACTGTCAGAAACTGTAAATAAAAAAAGTAAATAAAATTCTTGGCCAGGCACCAGGACTCTCCTTTTTCTTTCTCCAACATCCGCAACTTTGATCCAATATTTATTTTGCATGCTAAGGAATGGATCTATTTTGTTTAACGGTAGCAGGTAACCAGATTTCCAGAAACCTGGCTGTTTGAAGAACAATTCTATGTATCAGGAATTACACAAAATGAGATCATATACAGTATATCTTGTGCAACTGAATTTCAGTTGAACTGTGTTTCTCAAATCTAATGTTCTTTGCAGGTGCAGACGCTGCAGTTTCATCCATTTGAAACACAGACTCTTGTCTCTGGTTCTTACGACAAGTAAGGAAGGGCATGTTATACTTTCACTGCTCTATTTGTACAGTGTAGGAGCTGCATGATTGTAACAGGAGTACAGAAATCATAATGTGGCACTAAAAACACTTTTTGCTTCAGTGCAGGGTTTGGCTTATTCTTTTGTTAAGCTTATGTTGTCTGACACACTGGTTTGGTTACACTTCCTTCCTCGGTGATCTCTGAACGGTAGTGTTCAGTCTGATTTTCTTACCGTTACAACCTCTGGGGTATGCTATGCTTTTCTCATGGTTGGATAAGTGTTTTCGAGGTCACCAGCATGAGTTTGACCAAACTGCGGGAGGTAGTGGAGGACAGAGGTGCCTGGAGTGCTCTGGTCCATGGGGTCACGAAGAGTCGGACACGACTAAACGACTGAACAACAACAATGCTTTTCTCAATTACTTAACCTAGAATTAAAGAGCTTTTGAAAAGTTTGGCACGGGTGTGGAGGGAGAAGGTTGAACAAAAACTATCCGCATTTGACCAAATAAAAGAACTTCATACCCTGCTTGAGGCCATGCTCTGTTTCTGCTTTCCAGATCAGCAATTTTGTATGACTGCAGAAGTCCACAGGATAACCATCGAACCTGGCGCTTCAGTGGGCAGGTTGAAAGAGTGACTTGGAATCATTTTTCCCCTCACCACTTCTTGGCAAGTACAAGGTTCCCAGTTACCTTTTTCTGCCTTGTGTTTTATGTATTTATGTATTTACACCTCACCCTAATGAAAGTCCTTGAGGCTATTTTTAACATACAAAATGAATGGACAGCAAATACTAAATTGGAACATAATGCCACCCACAAAAATTAAACTAATCATCAGGCTTGAGGTCTGCTATCTATTGCTGTTCCACTGTACCTGCTACCAACAAGCTCTGCCAAAAACAAACTTCCACCAATGGTGATGGGCCAGACACAGTCCCCAATTTCTCCCAGAGACTGTGCCAACTCCTTACTGCCGCAGATGCTGCTCATCCGCACCCCTCTTTTGCTTCTGGGTATGGCTTGTGTGAGGCCTGATGGCATCATTTGTGGGGCTGAGCTTGACCCACGGCATTTCCAGATATTGTCGTATTGATTCCTTCTGCTTTTTAACAGTGCTTGGAACTGTTTTCTCTAGGCCAGCACAGAAGATGGATTTGTATACTGTCTGGATGCTCGTTCGCACAAACCAGTATTTACAATGAAAGCTCATAACGAAGAAGTATCTGGTAAATTTTCTGTTTCTGCCCCAAACAAATGCTAGGTCTCATTTCTGTATACAATATAAACCGGGATGGGGTTAGTTATCCTGTATAGACATGCCTGAGACAAACATGTACTTGCCATTGTGCAGTGTATAAGAGATGACAGATGAAATAGGAAATCTAAGATACCTTGTTTTTACCAGAGGAAAGGGAAGCAGTGATTGGTTGGTTGGTACTGCTAACCAAGGACTTTGAGAGTCCTCAGTGTGTGCCCTTAACTTGAAAAGGAAAAAAGGGTGTGTGTTCAAGACAGTAATGCTCTTATTGGGTCCCAAACGCCAACGTTTTTTATTGGGTCAGTAGGTCCCCTGGCAAATATCCAGCCTTGCCAACCTCTAGGCCTGCCCTTGTTATAATGCAAAACTTGGATTTTAGCTCATTGCGATTTCTTTTTTAAAAGTGCTACAGTAGAAATGTATCCTTGTGTTTTGCAGGACTACAGTTAAGCAGCCAGATTAAAGGATGTCTTGTGACAGCATCTGCAGACAAATATGTGAAAATTTGGGACATATTGGGAGATAAACCTAGTTTGGTTCATTCCAGGGACATGAAAATGGTAATTTCAGTCTTTCTAAAAAAACAACAAACAGTCTTCTCTTTTTAGGATTGTCTGGCATATGGTCATTCAAATGAACCAGGTGCAGATCAGTCTTAAGAATTATCTAATGTATCAAGAGTTTCAGAGTTTTAATTATTGCACACTCACAACACCCGTGGAAGATTTGGAAGTGGGTGTAGAATAAAATATCAAATAAAATATCAAATTAGTAGTACACGTCCACCCAAAAACGATTGTAAAATAAATGCTAGTATTATATAAAGCACATGTATTAAATATGAACATTCAAAATACTGAAAGATCAGTAACTGCATTTAGTGGAAAATACATTGGCCCCAGGGCAATGTGTCCAAACATTATGCAAGTTGTAGTCCAGCAGCCTCTGGAAGCCTATAGGTTCCTCATTCCTCCTTTCAACTATTGATACTATGATTCCTATGCAAAGTTTTATACAGTGGTGCCTCGCAAGACGAAATTAATCCGTTCCGCGAGTCTCTTCGTCTTGCGGTTTTTTCGTCTTGCAAAGCACGGCTATTAGCGGCTTTAAGAAAAAGGAAACAAACTCGCAAGAACTTGCAAGAAGTTTCGTCTTGCGAAGCAAGCCCATAGGAAAATTCGTCTTGCGGAACGACTCAAAAAACGGAAAACCCTTTCGTCTAGCGAGTTTTTCGTCTTGCGAGGCATTCTTCTTGTGGGCACCACTGTAAGCTTGAGACTGGATATGTAGCAGGAAGCTGTAGCAGCACCTGTCCATATTAAGCATACATTCTCAAGTCTCTCTTAGGAAAGGTAGGTAGCTGAGTTTCCAGGGGATCACATGCTAATTATGCTTTGTTTTTTGCCCACAGGGTGTCCTCTTCTGTGCAGCATCTTGCCCAGACTTACCATTTGTTTATGCCTTTGGAGGAGAGAGACAAGGATTACGTGTTTGGGACATAAGCACAATTTCTGCAGGTGAGATTGCTGTTTTTATCTGCATTTAGCATTTAGTTCTAGCTGGTGTGTTCAACCCTGAGAAAGCGATGCTTTGACTAGGCAAACTGCCACAGGAAAATAGGGTATAAAATGTCAGAGAAATGATCAGCTTAGCATCCCCTACCATCTATTCCAAGAGATTACGCCAGCTGCTCCCAAGTGTGGTAGAGTATACTCCTAAGGCTTCCTGAATTTCTTTTGTAAATGAGGGAAGGGATTGTCAAAGGTGTACTGCATCTGTGGATGTCATTGCATTATTTCCTGGTTTAAAAGAAGTATGCAACAAACACATTAAGATGGCTTACATGGCAATTATTAAAGGCCAGAATTTATGTAGTAGTACTAACAGAACTACTCTTCTTATTTGTGTTACAGTGAATGAAGTGTTTGGAAACCGACAGAGGCTGGTGGTTGCCACATCAAGTTCTGAAGCAAAAAATTCTGCTAGTGGCTGCAGCAGTGATCCAGATGCTGTAATGGAACCGTGATCTGGTATTACATTTTGCACTGTATAATATAAAGTGAATATTGATACCATGACTGTGCAAAAATGATTTATCTACACCTTGGAGGATATTGGGCAAATCTAATCTTACAATCTGTTAATGTAAAAGCTTGAGCTGCCCATATAAGCTTTTCTCTCTAATGAGCAGTGAGCAGAAAGGGAAATTACACAAAAAACTTGCCTCAGCACTTGGTTTTCATGCAATGTATTCATTCTTTGGGAAGTGAAGATTTTAAAATATGTATCTAACTTCATCAAGAAGTCCTTAAGTGCTTCAAGGGGGGAGAAAAGATTCCTACATGAGCAGAAAAGGTTTGAGGAAAAGAATGGTAATTAATGCATGCGTTAAAAAGCAGTGTTTTAATTTTTCCATAAGGAAACAGATTTTAAATGAATCTTCATTCCATAAATATATTAGCAGCAGAACTCCCCAAAATACATGGTTATTAGTAACCATACAGGTAATACCATATGGCACTATATACAGCAAATTGCTGGCTCATGCTAAAACCAAATCTGCATTATAAGCATGCTTTCCTGTATTGATCCCGTACTGTATATTAACAGTATCATCTGCAAATACTAGTTGTCTTAACACATGGGCAATTCATTGGCGTACAATGAATATTGATTTAAGTAAGTTCATATTGAGCCCAAACTAATGTATACATCACTTGGGGTGGGGGAGGAGTCAGGGCACTGTTCTGCTGTGATGGCATACAAATCAAATTTATTATCTGTAAATGAGGGTATCTGTTCTTGTTCCAAGCAGCTGACTAGAATACAGAAGTGTAGCTGTCAGTTTTTCTTAAGTCATGCATTGCACTTCAACCAAATCACCAGTAGCAGTTTCCACACTTGAAGTGGATAGGTGATAAGTTTGTTTTTACCCTTCTTGGAAACCTCTGAGTGCATGCGCCATTTTCATAAGGGGGTGAGATCTGGTCCTTGCCCAGAAATTCACTGTAGTGTAATAAACATGATTTTAGGAAGTCGAGTCGATTTATATTTTAAGTCCTCCATTTCTTATTTGTGGCAAGAGAGTGCGTCATTTGTCACATACATGTTTGTATTAAGCCTACAGGTGTCACTCCTTACAGAGTTTATCAATTCCTCTTCCTCTGAAGAATCATCCTCGTCATCTTCTTGGGCTGAGAGACTGGAGGTTGGTCCTTTACAGATTTTTAGGTGACGAGTGAGATGATATTTTGTTAAATAAGCCTTGGAGCATTTTTCGCAGACATAGTCCCGCTTCCCTTCATGAGAATTTAAGTGTTTCTTTAGATGGTTTGTCCTCAAGAACAGCTTCTCGCATTGGGGACATTTAAGTTGGCGTTCTCTAAACAAGGAAGAAAATAAGCATTTGTAATTATGATTGAATGTAGACTGATAGAGATATATTTAACAACACATTGATCTGGTTTCCATGTCACCAGTTGAGCTAAGCTGTGGTTTAAAGTAGGGCTGGGTGATAGCAGATATTAAACACGGCAATACACAGTGATGTTGAAACAAGCAGCTGCGTTGGCCCCAGCCCTGTGAGGCACCAGGGTGAAACTGCCACTACTCTTAACGAAGGAGCTGAGGTGGTTTCACCCCACCACCTCATGAGGATGGGGACAGTGCAGCTTGTTCCCGCTGCCCCCACCCTGGTTCCTTGCCTGAACTGCCTTCTGCTGGCGGGGGGAGGGGTAGGAGCAGTTTAATGATTCCAGGGATGAACAAGCTGTATTGGCCTGGTGGTACAGCTCTCTTCTCCCTTTGCCACCAGTGGCTTATTTAAATTTCTCCATTAAGAGGCGCCTGGATGCCTGCTCCTCAGCAGAGAAGTCTTAAGACAGCTCCACCTCCAGCCTGCACAAGCGGGGTGGAGGCTTTGTTAGACTTCCCATGCTTGCCTTGGCACAGGTGGGCTACCACTTTCTACCAGGAGCAGCGGTAGCCCGCCTGTGTGAGGCTTTGTGCACTTGGCTGCTGTTGCCTGGGAGGGTGGTCAATCACTCTGGGAGTAAAGACACAGCATAACTGAACAACCACACTCCCTCTGTTCTTACGAGACAACACCTGCATTTCTGTTGGTGTTCTAAATTATCTTTCCCCTGCAAGTTACCGTATTTTTCGCTCCATAAGGCGCACATTCCCCCTCCTAAAAAGTAAGGGGAAATGTGTGTGCGTCTTACAGAGCGAATGCAGGCGGGAGGCAGGCAGGAAAAGCCCCCAAAAGCCGCACACAAGCTCCACGGGGCTCTTGTGGGCTTTTCCGCGGCCAGTCAGTCCCTTCTCCCTCCTTGTAGAAAAGCCCACAGCAGCCGCGTGCTTCTTAAAGTGTGGGCGGTTCCTGTGGGCTTTTGCGGGAGGTGGGGGTATTGACATAGCCCCGCACAGTCTCTCCCAGCCGGAGAGGTTGTGCGCAGCTATAGCAGAAGCCTCTTTAGCCACGCACAACCTCTCCGGCAGGGAGAGGCTGCGCGCAGATATGGCAGAAGCCAAGACAGCAAGCGGGATGCATCCCGCTCGCTGTCTTGGCTTCTTTGCTCTTTGGGGCTCGGGGTGGGGGAGGAACCCGGGCTTCCCTGGCAGCCCCGAGAAGCTCGTGGAGCAGCGGAAAGGCCTCTCGGCTGCTCCCCAACCTGGTATTTCCCCCGCCAGCGCCAAAGAGCAGGTTGAAAGGAACCCGAAGTCTCCAGAGCGCAGCGGGAACTCCCGCCACGCTCCGGAGGCTTCAGGTTGCCTTCACTGAAGCCTGGAGAGCGAGAGGGGTCGGTTCGCACCGACCTCTCACTCTCCAGGCTTTCAAGGTAGCCACCTGAAGGCGACTGAACACACCTTGAACGGCAGCTTGTTTTAGAGGGGGAGAACAAGGGGGAAAAATTCAGTGCCTCCTGCTGCTTCGCTGGAGGGGCATAGTTTTTTTTTCCTTGTTCTACCCCTCTAAAACAAGGTGCGTCCTATAGAGCGAAAAATACGGTACCTACTGGGTATGTGTGAGCACATGCTGTTTGAGATCCTGCCGTCGCATGAACAGTTTGTCACAGTAATCACACTTGAGGTTTTTCTCCCCTGTATGGATAACCATGTGAGATTCCAGGTGGGCCTTCTGAGTAAAGGACTTTTCACAGAGAGCACAGCGATAATTCTTCTGACCTGGAATTAGTTAAACAAGGGGTATAAGACCATTTTACATTGTTCCTTGTACCTAATTGTATGAACACTTTAAAACCTAAGCCAGCATCCTGTTTGCCATTAACAAGGAATGATTATGTGGGGCAGCTGCATGTTCACATGCCAGGGAGTATGTATCCCTGAGCTCTCCTCACATTTTACTACTGATAGGACACTGCATCATCCTATACCCAGTGTGATCCATCACAGTGCCACACAACAGTCCTTCCCATCATAACACATTATCTCCCTGTGTTTCCTTTTTGGAAAAATGTTTCAAATCTGGCTAAAGGCTAAAAACAGAGCATTTAGTCAAATACGTATTGAACAGAAATGGTAAATTGGGATAGAAGGATGTACAGAAAAGGCATGCAAGCAAGATAATAAAGCTCATTTCCATATGTTCTTTCTATTTTGTGCAGGGGACTTTAAGCAGGGCTCTGGGGCACACAGTATGCAACAGCTGGGACTTTGCATACAATGTTCATTTCTAGTGAAAGAGGCTTGGTAGGAAGCAGGAGACACTGCAGCCCAAAGATGCTGCCAAATACCTTGAACTTTCTGACAAAGGCAAAAAAGGAATGCTAATAAAAAATTAACCAAGTCGCTTAGAAACAAATTTAGTTTGGAAATTTGTCCACAGCAATACAGTTCATTAACAACCCAGGCAACTCACATTATCAACTCCAGAACTTTAAGGTCTTCACTTACCTGTGTGTATTTTGAGGTGTGTACGGAGATTGCTAGGGTCACTAAAGGCTTTGCTACAGAAATCACACTTGTGTGGCTTCATGCCCATGTGCCCCATGAAGTGAACATGAAGCTTAGACGGTGAGATGAAAGCTTGAGGACACATGGAGCATTTCCACTTTCTCTCCTTACTGTGGCCTGGACCATGGTTGCTGCTGTGCCCCTGGCTGGGGAAGTGGCTGTGGATGTGACTACTCAGGTGCGCCTTGAATTCTGTGTAGGAAGCACATTCTTTTCCACAGTGACAAGTGTGCACATCAGGATGCTCAGGAACACCTTTAACGCAAAAACAAGATCTCAGACTTTCAAGCACCACAGCTCTCGTATACTTGCAAGCTTGGCTCTGCTTAAAGGTGACTGGTCTTCCCTTTTTATTCAGTGCATTTTGCAGGAACAAAAGACAAGAAAATAATCCTGACTAAAAAAAGGCACAGAAAAAGTTACAAACTAGTAGCTTTGTGCAAACAAATGGTCAGATAGCGCTGTAAAGCCAACAATGTGCAAATTGGGCATTACAGAGTTTCTGTTCCTTGGTAACTGATGTTACACAAGCTTCAAAGCTCATAACTGAGCTTCCCAGCCTGCAAAATAACCCAGCTTGGCAAACATTTTGTAAATTACAGTGGTGCCCCGCAAGACGAATGCCTCGCAAGACAAAAAACTCGCTAGACGAAAGGGTTTTCCGTTTTTTGAGTCGTTCCGCAAGACGAATTTCCCTATGGGCTTGCTTCGCAAGACGAAACGTCTTGCGAGTTTGTTTCCTTTTTCTTAAAGCTGCTAAGCCGTTAATAGCCGCTAAGCCGCTAATAGCCGTGCTTCGCAAGACGAAAAAAACGCAAGACGAAGACTCGCGGAACGGATGAATTTCGTCTTGCGAGGCACCACTGTACCTAGAATTAGAATTCCACATTCTGGACATGAATAAAATTAACAATATGGAGCTAAATCCATTCAAACATAGCTCTGATAAGAGGCAAACTGAAGGCAAGTGGATGTTTTCTACAGGATACATTCAATTAAGTGCATCAAACTGCTTACCGATTTGTCTGGCATAATCTCGACTATAGTAAAATAGAAGCTCATGCTCTGGGGGGATATCACGTGAGGTGCAGAAGTAAATCTTTCCATCATGAGGATAAGCCACCAGATTTTGTTCTTCCCGATTCCTGTTATATGCAGGGAAGAGGGGAAACCAATTTAAATGTGACATAGTATTTATATTTATTCCATCAATATTTCTGGAATGCTTAACATTCTTAGTACAAGCTAATTCAAAACAGTAACTGACTACTTTTGTAGCGGTCAGAAAAAAATATTTCTGCTGAATTAAGAAGTGGACCTTTCTGAAATTCAGCTTTGTAATACAGTGGTAACTCGGGTTAAGTACTTAATTCGTTCTGGAGGACTGTTCTTAACCTGAAGCACTACTTTAGCTAATGGGGCCTCCTGCTGCCGCCGCGCCACCGGAGCACGATTTCTGTTCTCATCCTGAAGCAAAGTTCTTAACCCGAGGTACTATTTTGTAACCTGAAGCGTATGTAACCTGAGGTACCACTGTACTACTCATTTCCATCCAGTGGTCCACACAGTGGGTGACTTCCATCCTGGAGCAGACAGCTTCTTTAGAACAGGGATGGGGAATATGTGTCCTTTCAGATGTTGTTGGACTCCAATTCCCATCGGCTCTAGGTAGCATGACCAATAGTCACATTATTCCCTTGCAAGATTCAGATGTCATTGTTTTACTTTTAAACATTCCCAATGTCCACCTCTGGACTCCTGGAGCCTATGTCTTTGACACCCTGCATATTTTACTCCCCACGACTTGCATCCAAACTTACTGCAGCCCATTTCAGGAAAGTCTGCTGTGAATATGCACCAAAACATTTGACCCTTTTTGCCACAAACTTCTGTGCCAAACAATACAGCCGGAAGCTTAGAAGTGGAGGTTAACTAGTTTTACAGTGGTACCTCCGGTTGCAGAGCTCCGGTCGGATTCCAAGGTTTCCGCAGCTGAAGGTACTGCTGCGCATGCATGCAATGAAACACTTCTGGATTTGCCGTTCATGTTACCCAAAGG